GAGAGAGAGAGAGAGAGAGAGAGAGAGAGAGAGAGAGAGAGAGAGAGCTCCTTCTCAAAGCTAATGAACCCATAATGCATACGAGAAGAAGAGTTCAAGTCAATTGAGAATCATTGCCTCCTCTTTGCTGCTGGCCTTGTTGCAGCAAGATAATGATATGCGCGGCTGTTCACGGTAGCTCTTGATTGATTAAGATCCTGAACAGAATCACTGTAGTAGTAAAAATGTTCCATCAGAGCTGAGCTGCTGAGTGGAGCATTTTCTGCTGAGCATCATACAGACACCACACATGTCGATAGGAACACTTTGGTGGCCGTCAATGCTGTTCCCAATAAAAATATTCTTTTTTTTATTTTTTAAATTTCATTAGTTGTTTGATCTGTATAATCCTTTCATAATCCTAACAGTCGGAGAGCCAAGTGATGACTAAATGTGCAGCTGTGTGAGGAAAGTCCTGATTTAAACACGGGCTGGCAACTGTCGACAGATTGATATGAGGCGATAAGGGCCAGCGCGGAGAGACTTGATGGGTTTTGTCCGATGACAGAGGAGGGACGGCAAATGGGGCACAGTCAGAGAAGTTAAGGGAATTAAGCAATCGCGGGAGTTCACCCAAAAGTCAGCCGGACTCTGCCGAAGGACTGTCTGAAGAGAGGAAACATACGATTGGCTTGGATATTGTTTATACGTATAGGCATTGTGAGGGTTTAGTAGGTAAGAGTTGGCCAGAAACACCCAGATGGACAAACTTCCATCAGTAATTACTATAAAAAAAACTGAAATGATAAATAGACTCGAAAAGTAGGAAGTTGAGTTTGATTACTGAAAGATAAGATGTTGATGAGATGAGATGAGATGTAGGAAAGGACAGACAGGAGGGGAAGAAAAGCAGGGACGAGGTTATCAAAACTGGCAGTTTAAAGGAGGCAACCCAGTGAACATTGCTGAAAACCAAGGGATACGTTGGATTTTGACGTTTTGAACCAAAAACACATTTCAAAAGTACCTTTTACTGTAGCTATTAACTATTAACGTTGTGAAATGATTGGTTAGGTTTAGTCAACAAAACTACGTGGTTGAGGTTAGAAAAGGGATCACGATTTTACTAAAAATGCTTAACAAGAAAACGTAACTTCCATGACACTGTAACCACCATAAATAAAGAATAACCACCTTCAGCAGACTTTCTTACGTAACGTTTTGTAACAAGCGTACAGTCGATGTTTATTTTTGGTTTCAAACTGGCCGTGAACAGCGATCTCCTGTGAAGGTCTTGTGTTTGTTTAAGCCTTACGTTCCGACACTATTTTTACATATCATTACATAAAAAGTGTTACAACGTTACGTAACAAGCGCAAAGACAGTCTCTTGGGAGAAAATCCTATGTTTCTGTAGGTAGTTATTATAACAAACATTTATTTTAACCCAAACCAGAATCCTTTCCTAAAACTAAGTCGATTTTGTTACGCAAGTGCACTCATCACCCACCCATGCTGTTGGACTTTCATAGAATGACCCCAAAATAGATCATCATCACACAAACTGTTGTATCAGAATACCTTGAATTAAAAGCCATCTTGCTATTTTTTGTTAACTAATATTCTGCTTGTAATTTACGAGGTATTACGAGGCTTATCTCGGGTAAATGTTGGACTTTTTTCCAGCCTGATCAAAGTTGTAAACTACAGAAGAAAGACTAAAGGGACTCCACTACCGTCTTATTCCTTACGGTTATAAACATGGTTTCTATTTCATTTGACATGAAACAGTTCAATATTATATTTCTGAAGGAACCACACATCTAAGCTGCTTTTAGTTCTCAAGTGTTTCAGCAAAAGATTTTCAAGTGACTGTTGTCCGCTCTAATCTCATTAATAGAAACAACCAGTGGCGGTGCGTAATAGAAAAGACTTAGGGTACTTAACACTGTAACAGGACACTCATGTGACTACGCTCCACGCAGGGTGGGAAATACAAGTCGAAATTACAAATGCATCTATTTCCTCACTTTCTAATTTGACAGACGGGGTCAGTCCTGGCCGTGACTCCGGGGTTGCGACCTTCGGCTGGACCGTTGCTTTATGATGTGTGCAGAAACGCAGGGGGAGGACCGATCCTGAGCCCTGATTGGCTGGAAGGGCTGAGAAAATGACAGCCAACCCGCCTGGGACATCACACACCTGCCAGTCTCTGTCTCTCACAAGTTGTCTCAGGGGGGATCAACACATTCAGAAGACTAATATTGGTTCTTAAAGTCCAATGTTTGATGTCAATAATCAATTATTTTATATTTTTGCATCCAGGAAAGAGAGAGGTTGCAAAAGTGGCTCAAAGACCATCATGGGACAATGAAACTCATACACATAAGATAGATGAATCAGATATTTACTTAAGGCAATAGCATCTTATCATTGCTTTAGGGCAAAATGCATCAGAATTACTCCACAAAAACAACAAATTGATAAATGAAAGTTAAAATTTAATATACGTTTTTTACAGAATGTTTTGCTTCGGCTGTGGCCAAGAAAACCTCCCCCGATCAAATATCGCTGACTGAAGTTTAATAAAAAGCCAGTATCGGTGTGTCCGCGCTGTGTGTATCGGTGTGTGATATATCGGTCTAACAGGAGACCTGGGAGACTCGGAGCACGAGTGTTGGGTTGTGAGTCAGTGCAGCCAGCCAGTATAAGAACTGTTTGCAAGAAGAGCAGGGATGAGATAAAGGCGGCGCAGCTCTGGGACTGTCGACAGCTCTGCCACTCAGAGGAGAGGCTGCAACGAGGGCGAGCCCACGCTCTGGAAGCTGTCTGATGCTGCAGGTTAGACTCAGTCTGGCATTTGGATTGTCTTAGCGGTATTTTAACAGTACGATATGTAATATCTCTGCTTGTGATTTAAACAATTTTGCTGTTTTTGAGTGCAGCTTATATTTTGGGCTTTAAGAATCCGGTGCAGTTGCGGGACATTGTAGGTGCTCTGTGAAGAATTAGAGTTGATTTTAAGGTTAGTTGCGTTTTTTTTGCACGTACTGTAGCAGGTCTCACTGGTGTTTGTTGGAGAGGGAAATACATCATTTACATCACACACTTTCCCAGCACCTGTTTATTCAACTGGAAAGGGCAGACACTGGCAGAATAATGTAATTATGTAATATTTCACAGTGCAGCGCTTCATTAGTGGGGTTCTTCTTGGATGCCTTGAATGCACAGGTTGCTTTCTTTCTCTACACGGTGTTTTCATCAGTAACATTATTGTTCATTTCTAAATGTCTGTTTGGATCTGTCGCTTGACGTTCATGATTAAGGATTTGATCTGGTTTGGAGCACATTTATTCTACTTAAGATGGAAAAGTATTGGCTCATTTTGGCAACTCTAGTTTTCATGTTTTCTGAACTTAGTTGTGATTTTCTGTAATTATTTAAACCTATTGTATTATTTAAGTGTATTAAAATACCTTCAGATGAGTGACTGTACTTTCAATTTACCTCAGTAAATAGAACTGATTTAGCATCATTTTGAGATATGTTTGACACAAGTTTCTCACTTTAAAAACAAAGTTCTTAAGTAAAGAAAATTATTATTAATGTTGCAGTGAAAACTGCTGATGTGGATCAAAAAGCTTGGGACGGAAACATGCTGTTAATGAGTTTTCATACATGACGACGTATGATTTTTTGTTTTTTTACTTCGGTACAACGAGATACAGTGATGGCTGCTCGGGATGAAGACAGAAAACCAATGTGCATCCTTGAAACAGCTGTACTATAATTTGCAACAGTCGATAAAATTCAGTAAATAGCGTTCAAAGCTGAAAGTAGTAGTGAAACGAAGCTGTCAGTTTCAATAGGCATACTTTATATTCATGTGATAAATACACTAAAGTCAATTAGAAAAAAAGAAAGTGACAATTTAGAATCTTTGGAAACCCTCCCAAGAAACCTTCATAGATCAGGTTGAACTTATGGGGTTGTTTGTTTGTCCAGAATCATTATTCTAAAACGGTACTAAAATAAAAATAATGAAATAACTAAAAAATAGTTGCGACATACATTACGTTGTGAGGTCAAGTAATCAGCCCATATCACACATTTCTCTCTAAGGGCTTTGCAATCTTTACACCATACTTTACCCACATACTCTTATTTTAAAATTAAAAGTAAGAAAAATATTATAATACAATAGAACCTTTGGAAGAGCAACAGAGTAGCGATGACTCCTCCAGGACAAACAAACATGAAATAGGTCTCGCATATAAAGTGCAGACAAGGTTACCATCTTTACCCGGATCTGTTTACATGTTGTGATACTCTTCACTCTTGTTAAAAGCTGGACTTGATTATTTGCACATTAAGTTGAACACAAAAAGCCATTGTTTCTTTAATTTTGTTCAGACTTTTTTCTTTCTCCGTCTTCTGTCCAGGCCACTCTAAAGGGCATGTTATCGACGGAACCGCGTCTCTACAGAGGACTTAACTCAAGTCTGATTCCAACTTGACTGCCACTGGTTATGAGAATCTGCACTCCGAGACTGAAACGGTACGCCTTGACACAATTTCTAAACTACATGAAGAAAATAAATGAAATACAAACATGACTTGCTTGGGGTTTTAATAATGTATTTATTTTAAAACATGAGATTAAGTTTAACATTTCTGCATTAATTGTGTGTCTCTTCTTAGGCTGGGGGTAAGATGTTTGTGGAGTCAGTTGTCCGATGGGGGGCTTGGAGCATCCTGTTCCAGTTTGGACCGGGTGTATCTGCAGGAGGCTGTCCTCCACGCTGTGTTTGTCGACCAGAGGCTAAAGAAGTGATCTGCTCTGGCAAACATTTGAACTCAGTGCCGGAGGGCTTTTCCGGTGATGCCAGGCGTTTGGATTTATCTCACAATAAGATTAAGACTGTTGGGCGCCGCCAGTTCTCTGGCCTCCTGCAACTTCAGGAGTTGGATCTCAGTGATAACATAATCTCTATGATTGAGGTGGAGGCTTTCCAGGGCCTACAGAATCTCAGGACGCTTCGGATTAAGACTAACCGACTCAAGATCATCCCAGTTGGGGTGTTTTCTGGCCTGTCCAGTCTACGTCTTCTGGATTTGAGCCAGAATGAAATTCTCGTCTTTCTGGACTATACCTTTAAAGAACTGGTCAACCTGCAAACGCTGGAAGTCGAGGAGAATGATTTGGTCTTCATCTCCCAGCGAGCTTTCTTTGGTCTGCAGAATCTGCAGGAGCTCAACTTAGACCGCAGCAACCTGACCTCCGTTCCTACCGAGGCATTGTCCCAGCTCCAGAGCCTTGTGCGTTTCCGCATGCTACGCCTCACCATTTCTACACTCCCTAACAACGCTTTCCGACGACTACACCGTCTGCGTAGCCTCCTGATAGCAAACTGGCCAGCATTGGACACCGTGGCTAGCAACAGCCTGATTGGTCTTAATTTGACCTCGCTTGTCATCAACAGCTGCAACCTAAGTACTGTTCCTTACTCCGCACTGCGTCACCTGGTGTATCTGCGCTACCTGGACCTGTCCTACAACCCCATCTCTGTTATCCAGGGTAATCTGCTAGGGGACCTCCTAAGACTCCAGGAGTTACACCTAGCAGGGGGGAGTCTGCTACGAATAGAGCCGGGGGCCTTTAGGGGACTGGCCTATTTTCGCATGCTCAATGTCACATTCAATCAGCTCACTACTTTGGAGGAGAGCGTCTTCCACTCTGTGGGGAACCTTCAGGTGCTGCGGTTGGATGGGAATCCCCTAGCATGTGACTGCCGACTTCTCTGGGTGGTCCGTCGCCGATTGCGCTTGAACTTTGATGGACATCAGCCCACTTGTTCGTCTCCTGGTGCAGTGAGACAGCGTGAATTCAGAGACTTCTCCGAGAAGGAGCTCCCCAGGCTGTTTAAATGCCGCCCGGCCCGTGTCATGGACCGCAGGCCGCAGGAGGCGAGAGTAGAGGAGGGCACAACTGTTCACTTCTCCTGTAAAGCCGAGGGGGATCCATTCCCATCCATCACCTGGATCTCATCCCATAAGAATATGGTTACTCCAACAGGACGCATCCGAGTTTTGCCCAATGGTACTCTAGAAGTGCGTTTTGCCCAAGTGCAGGACAGTGGCACATATCAATGCCTGGCGGGCAATGCAGCCGGCAATGACAGCCTGACTGTCGGTTTGTACGTGAAGGGGCTCCCTCGTAACCGAACCATCCCCTTTTTCTCAGAGGAGGGCTGGGTAGAGCCGTCAAACTCCCAAGCCGCCAACTCCTCGGCTCAAATGTCTAAACCATACCCGTTTGACGCAAAGACCCTGATAATCGCCACCACCATGGGCTTCCTGTCTTTCCTCAGCTCAGTGGCCATCTGTTTTGTCTTCATGTTCTTCTGGAGCCAGAGCAAAGGTCAGATCAAGCACACAGCAACTATTGACTTTGTTCCTCGGTCTTCAATGAGTGGTGGAGGGGATGGAGGAGACGGTGGCAGGTTCACCATGAAACTTATTTAAAGCCAAGGAAGAGGTGAAAGGGGCCTCCATATTGACTGTGAGTTTTCCTCTGCAGATGGACCCACGCTGGGACACTCAAGGACAGAGATCTCTATTCAAAGGCCCCCTTTGAAGGCAGCCAGTTTGTTGGGCATGTGCAAGCCCTCTGCTAATTTTAGAGTGGAAAGTTATGTCTCAGCATCCACTTCGCTAACGAATGAATATCTCATGACCTTGGAATAGAAAGATGTTAACAGATTGAAGGCAGAGCTCTCTCATATTTTTTTGCATTTGTTTTCAGCAACTTTTAATTTAAATAAGCAAATGAACACTTACTTAGCACAGGTCTAATTTTGTATGTAGCATGTAAGTATGAAATAGTTTGAATTTTCACAGATTTTGGAATTAACACATGGAGAGTTTAACACATGTTTCTGTCTTGTCAACAAATCAGGTTCTTGTTTAAACATGCATATTATACAAGTGTGTTGTATGTCTTCACTTGCCAATACAAGCCATGTAAACATTTGCCCTTTTTGACCCTTGGGTTGCTATTTATGCTTAACCACCACATGAGGATCATGTCAAAGACTGTCAATTCAGCATTGGCTGTAAGTGTATGTGACTAAAAAGCTTCTGGTACTTGCAATAAATATATGGAATAGACTAGCCACATCATTTCAGATCCTCATCTTTATGGTTAAATGTTGGAGCTTTGCAGGATGCTTCAGGTGTGCTGCATTGGAGAGTGGTGTAGCAGTGCAAAGGGACGGATAGCGTACCTTAATGTACATAGGAATGTATCCTTTCACATACTCAAAACAAGTTCGTAAAGTCCAAATTGGATCACTGTCTTTCTCTTTTAACATATTATTGTGTCATGTTATTGCAACAGATGACTCTCTGTTCCATCAGAAGATGCTATGATTTCTCCTTTTTATATTCAAGAAACCACGTTTTTTTTTATTCTTTACCCACAGAAATCATTAAGAAATATGTGCCTCAGTAACATTCTCACCGTCGACAGAGAGAATGCTCACCTGATCATTGTTATTTTGTAAATATTAGGTCAAGGGCGTTTGTGTGCGCTGGGTTTATTCCATCACTTTATCTAGTTCTGGGGATTAGTGTCACTCAAATATTGCACTCTTGTATAAACTGTGTAGATGCACTACGCACAAAGCAATGCTTCAGTATAACAGGATGTAAAGGATGTAAAGGATGCACACATACAGCATTGAGATGTTTTTCATTTGACTTTATTAAATGCCTATATTTAAACCTGCATTGTGTGTGTGGAATGCCTTCAATTGTTTCATATAGATTATTTGGGAATGTTATCAAATTGGGAAAAGACGACTGATCCAATCATCTGAAAACCAATCTCTCATTGGATCTTCTTCTGAAATGACTCAATTGTTGGGAAATTGGCAAGAGTAGGAGACATTTTCTTGCATAACCAAAGCACTTAATCTCTGTGCTGTGAGTCCATTGTGGGGACTTTATGTTTCAATTCGAGACAGGAAGTGGCCCTGTTGCCCCTTTGGAAGACAACAAAGCTACAGCTGGCAGCTAGCCACACAAATGTACGCTTGTCTTTCTGTGAAGACGACGGATTATGTGTGCAGAGGAATACCGCTGTGGCTGTCTGTTTTCTCTCAGAGCCACCCCTGCTGAAACACGAATGGATCTCTTTCGGCATGTACTGTCTCCCCAGCTGCATATTCTTCACTGCTGACTCCGTTAAAAACAGGATATTGCACTTGAAAGTGATAAAACAAACGCTACCCAATGAATTACCGTTGCTTCATCTTAGTGCAGTTTAAAGACCTGCAGTGCTCAGAGTGGATTCAGTGGAGAGAATATCTCTTTGTCCGTCTAATGCAGTTGCCCAGAATAGCAATAATAAAAAAAGAAAGAAAGGAACTGATACTAACGTGTGTGAGCAGAGATTTAAACCCTTTTGGATTACCTCTGCACGTCTCAATCTGTTATGTAGGTCTGTCTGGCGGGTGCTATCCTCCCGACCCTGCTTGGCTGTGGTCATATTATCTATTTTAATACAACTATTTGCTCCCATTGGACAGAAAGCCAAAGGGGTAGATTAAAGTGGTGTTTATAAGCCACTCCCCCCCACCCCCATGACAGGCGTGCACACGCCACCGAAAACATTATGGTCTATTTGCATCTGCTGTTACGTTAGCTTCAAGAGCCTCCTCTGGATTGACGGTGAAGACCAAGCATTGCTTCACAACACAAGATGCATTTTACATTTATGTTGTAGGCATTTGGCTGACACTGTTATCCAGAGTGACGGGGGGAAGAGGACTGAATGATTAGATGACCTCAATTAAGCAGCTGACGGCATGGGTGGCAAAGCTGAGGTGCTGGAACGCTGGAAATAGAATAATAAGTAAAACGAAGGAAAACGTATTTATTTTAGCTCATGGTTCATCATTTGAAAATACACTTTTTTATTATTGACTCAAATATAATTTCTAAGAGCATTTCTCCAAAAATGTCAATGCACTGATTTGTTTGAATAGGAGGTCGGCGCAGAACTGGATCTAGATCTCTATTAATCCTGAGGAAATATTACAATATTCTGGTCTTGAAAATGTCTCAATTAATTGGTCTGTCGTTATACCTGCTTCTGACTCAGCTGGAGTTGACCTGCACTGGATGAAGGTGGTCTCTACAGCGCTGCAGAGAGGAGATGAGCGGTGACGAGAGGTCCTTGAAAAGATGAGAGAGAGCAGGAAAAGCCTTTCCAGCTGACTTACCGTGACAAAAGTGTGCATGGCTCTACATATTAACTGAAACAAAACCCTCATATAGGGGCTTCAAGGGGGACTTCAGACACAAGGACGTCGCTGCTAGCACAAGAAACAGCTTTTCATTTGTAGTGTGATCAGCAACACGAGCAGCACTTTGGGGATGTAAATGTTGGATGGATGAATAATGAAAAGATACCCACCACTAGTGGGGAAAAGCAATGTTAATTTAGGCCTCAGCATGGTGCCACAGAAAAGGTCATGTTGTAAAGGGGTTAAGATCCACACTGTCAGACCTGCTTCACCCTTCAGTCTGAGCTGAACTCAGCTGTGCTCAGACTCAGCTGTGCGTTTAGCTGAATGCTAATTGTGATGAAGTTCTAAGCCATTTGGTAGATTAGTTGAAATAAACTTCCATATACTAAGTTGGGTGTGGGTAGACATTTTTGTTTATTGTCATTTCGTCGTGGTTTTGGCTGGTCAAGTAGATATTTATTTGTGTGCATTTGGATGTTATTTGATAGGTAAGTTATGGTTTTTTGGGATGCATTTATGTACATATATAATTTGCCTCTCATTCACACACACACACACACACACACACACACACACACACACACACACACACACACACATACACACAAACAAACACACAGATGTGTTTACGTCACTTCAGAGGACATCGCATTGGCTTACATTTATTTCCTGGAGACTTACCCTAAAGCATAACCACATTGGGAACAATTCGGGGTTCATTGTGTTTCCTGCGGACAGTGACATGACACAGCTGTCATTAGTATTTTAGCCACGCCCTGTCTGAAGTTTCTATCTTCATATGAACACCCAGAAAACAAAATGGCTAGAGTTCAGTCATTACTCCTGCCACTGCTTGTCAAATGATCCTGCAGGCTCGGTACATAGAGTGCTGCAGGAATGAGTCCTAAACCCAGAAATGAGTCAGCATATTCACACTTCCACTTCCCTCTTCTTGAAGTCAACGGTTTTTTTTTTATGGGTATTTGGATAGATGACTGAAATAAGGTCTTTGATTAACAAACACTTAAGAGATTTTGACCAATTTGTTCTACGATATGAAATATGTCAGTGAAAACCCCAGTGGGAACCAGTGCGATGCTAACTTCTGGATTGGCCTACAAAAATACGCTGCCTCTGCGGTATACTCTGTACAATTCCTATTGTGCTATGTCTTGGTTTTCCCTATAGGCTACCCCTAACACAATAGGACGTAGGAGCTTTTGGTCGCACTTAAAAAAAAAGGTCAGAGAATCACCAAACACAGGTTTCATCCTCTTTGGAGGTTTTGGTTATCTAAATGGTAACTTTTGTTTAAATAGCCTTGATGGAATTCTGTCTCACCAGCTTTATGAAGTAACCTGTGACTTATATCTGTGTTTGTATTGTTATATATTACCTCACTTCATTACTTTGAATCAGAAATAACTGAAGCAAAACTCCAGAATTCATCGTGTTAAAACCATGAAATTGTTGTATATTCACATTATCATCCTGCAGTCCTATGGTTTGTACCAGCAAGTGGTGCTAAACCTACAAATATAAGGGATCCATTAAATATAACAACCACTTACCAATTTGCACCAATTAGCTTTAAGTGTTTTGTGAGTAAATAGAAGTCAGGAGTGATAAGCTTAAGATGCCTTTAGCCTGATTGGGTTTTGGATAAAAGAGAAAAGTCTTAAATTCATTAGAAAGAAGAGCACCTTCATTTATCCACTTTATAATTGCCGCCTATGCTTGTTCACCTCTTTTCAATCATGATGTATAATCAGTCCATCCATTATCTTTATCAGCTTATACTGTTCAGGATCACTGGGGGTCCTTTGTATTTATTATCTACTTATTTTGTTACTTTTGAGGTGAGTAACCGGCCTCAGCTTGGCTGCACAGGCAGGTAACACCATGTTTACAATCGTATCATTCAGCGCATTGCTGATGTAAAGAATCACGTTACAGCATTAGATAATAAGTGTTTTTAATGTTGGTAGGGAGGCGATTGTTTCAATTTGGATCACAGATTTTTTACCTTCAATCATTATAAACAACAAAAAAGATTGAATGATGATGATCGCTGCACTGGATGCAAACTACTACTGCATGAAGTCATCTTCTTGTAACCTTTGGGAAAGAGTACATCAGGTGATTTCACCATAAAACCATAAAACCTTCCACCACAGACAGCCGATGGATGCGGTACGCTGCTGAATGAGACGGAACGCTGCTGTCGTAATGATTTAGGAGGTGAAATCATCAGCTTGGAGTGCTGAAACACAGATTGAAACCCTTGCTTTTGCTGCCATCTAGTGGTGAAAATACCCCCCACCTCAGCACTACACTGACTCCATACAAAATGACATCACTGTTGAGTGAGGTCATATGTGCAACAGACTTGAAATAAAGGTTTCATCACCATTTAGGAAGCGACTGATGTTAACCCAGTAAGCAAGGCGAGTAGAAAGAGAGGAAGAGGGTCAATGCTGTGACTAACACATCTAACTAATACTTATCGGGCACTCTGTCAATCATTTTAAAGGAGACAGAAGACAGATTTCCTGATGTGCTTTGTCTATTTTAGTTTTACAAAATATGCAAATCAACTGTATCTGTTTTTTTCCCTTTCTCAGATGACAAACGAGGTCATGAGAGCATGACATAATGAAGAGACCAGATGTGCTTTGTTTTTGGTTTGATTGGTGGAAAGTAACTTAAGGGGGGTGAATCTTGACTATAAAAGTGATCTGTGAAAAGTAATACTTTGGATTTGTTATGATTTGCTAAACTCGTTGTATGTTGGGCGTGTGCAAATTAAAAACACTTCCCGCTGGTTGCAACTTCAGTTCGCCGTCTCTTCGCCACAACAAAGTAAGTTCAATTTTTGTCATGATGGTTATTTGTCACAGTAGTTCTCTCTTGAGGACTCCAAGCGGTAGTCCTTGTTAGTTAAATGTGTTGATAGGATGAAGGTTATTAAGCGTACCAAATCTCTCTGTGAAGCTTTTATAGCATGCATGATTGAGGTAGACTGTGTCACGTAATGAATAAGTGTGAATGAGTAACAGGACTGAATTTGAATCCCTGTAGAGTTTGAGGGGTTGACATCCCTCACTGAACTCAAAGGTGTTGATTTAAGGAGCAGCATTAAGAGATGATTAAAGCATTTAAAGTATGTTTATGAAAGGTAAATTGCCAACACCCCCCAGTGGGTGGTTTTTTTTACAGGTTTGTTTCGAGGACCCACCTGTGTGTGACAAATACTTTGCTTTGTGAATTGAGGAAATGCTAGACTGTCTCTCCATTTTTCAAAATAGCCTCATGCTGTTTTTCTCCCAAATGTCTCATAGAAACTCAGTTGAGGCTTTGGATGGTGCCATGTCCTGTAAATGGAAGCATCTGTGTAGTTGCTTCCACTAACAGGCATTCACCGCTTAGAGTGGTTGAATTCATCAAATTTGAGTCAATTTACTTTCACAAATGCAAACGAATGCAGCAGAGCCAAAGTGCTGATTCATTCCCATTCAGGCTCTCAGGCACTATTGACACATATTGATTAGACATTACAGACGCAGTTGCCGAGGCGTTATCATTGTTGGCTGAGATGTTGTGTGCAAAAAAACATATTCCAGAGAATAAAATATTGTATCATAATGTCCTGTAATATGTAGTCATTCTGTAAATGCATAAGGAAGTGTTATTGCTGATGTTGTTAATATTTCAGTAGATTTAGAAAATAAGACATTTATCAAAAAACTGGAAGAAAAACTGATGTGATCTTCAATGTATGAGCGGATGTATAATAGAAAAAAAGGAATGAAAAACAAGATGAGTGACATGATTTTAATCTGTGGAAATCATCTTCTGACCACCAGCAACAGGTTTGATGCATAATCCCACACGCCTGTAATCATAAACCTTTTATTTTTTTTGCAATCCCATTTTTCATTCCTGCGTCCCTGCTGCTACACTCCCCCCCCCCCCCCCCCCCCCCCCCCAGCTCTGCTGTTTGTTTCCGAGGTGGAGCCTGATACCCCGACTTCTCCAAACTGAACTGCCAGGCGAAGGAGACGGACAAGAAAGGACTTGGACCAGCAGTCGGTGGCACAGATCTGGGACGCAGCAGATCGGGAAAGGGACCAAAAAAGGAAGGCGACTGGAAGGAAGAAGAAGGATTTTGTGGAGCGCTTCGTACGGTTTACTTATATTTTTTTCACAAACCGGTTACACGCGGAGGAGCTTCAAGAAAGATGAATTATTTCATCCTGCTGTCGCTTTTTGCAACGACTATCGCCGGAAAGTCACCTCGGCTGAAATTTGTTTTGCACGGTAGGGAGCTGTATTTTTACCTTTTATTTGACCATCTTTTATTGTTTTCTTTATGTCACCAAGCACGTTTTATTAATGTGTATGGTGAGTAATGGACCAATGAATGGGTGAATGGATGGACGGATGAGTGAATACAGTGAGAGTTTCGAGGTGATGAAGCCAGTTATTTTCCAGTTCCCCTCCTAACCTATGTTGTTTTGTCCTTTGCGAAAGATGCACAGACAGCACCAATGAAGCCATATTGGCGGGGTTACCTCTGGATTAATGTCCTAAAACGCCGCCCTCCCCCCACTGACCGAGTAGTAAATTACGCACTCCAGCATTCAGGCCGCGCACACATGTTCACAGGCGATAACAGGGTGAACATCTGGAATAAAAATTAATTCGGCTGTTAACACAATATGTTACTGTTACCGGGGTGTTTTCTTTGCCAGCTCGGTCTTTTGTTTCCTTTCAATTTCCAGTTTGCATTGTGTGCACATTCGCGCACAGGCACATTTGAATGATTTGGATGTGATTTGTGCAACTCGTGGCTTTTCTGTTGGTCATTTTGACAACTTGTATGTTTATTTCCGCGCACTGCATGATCACTGCGTGCTCGTCTTCTAAATGCGCCGTCGCTGGTTGTGTCACTTAGGTGCACGCAGGCTTTAATTGGCGACCGTCCAGCCTGGTCTCCAGGCGCACCGATAAACCCAGAGGCACTTAAATACAACCTTCTGGAGTAACATGGCCGCCTGTCCGCCCCGAACACACCGCGAGCCCTTTAAACAGCCGCGTGCCCCCCGCCACAAAGCATCGTTACTGTGAAATATGACTCTTTGGAGGTTGACACACTGGAGCTCCTCCGTCCTTGCGGAGCTGCAATGCGGGACACGGCAGCTGGTACACACTGCAGCAGAGGAGCCCAGCTCCGCGGCAGAGATGGTTGTAAATATAAATATATGATGCAAATTTACACATATACAAACATGGGGGGGGGGGGGGGGGAGAGGGAATAGAACAGAAAATTCCATCCCGATTCCTAGTTATCTATTCCACTCACGCCTTTTTTTCACCTCACACACTCCTCTAATGTATTCAGCAATCAGCAGAGATGGGGGCTGTGTGTCTCAAGTTATCTGTATCTGTATCTCTCCCCTCCCCGCTGATAAGCACAGTACAAAACGCACAAGATGACGGCCCCGAACGTGCAAGTCATATCAATCAATCTCGTTGTTATGCAATTCCAGGTTGAGCTTGAATGTCTGTCATTAGGGCATGCAGGCGCGTACACAGGCGCGTACACACGCACACAGATAGAACACTGTCAGAAAAAAATCCATCAAAGGCGCAGTTTGAGCCTGAAGTGCAAAAGCTTCACAACAAGACGCTGGAGCTGTTTCAGAGCTGGCACGGTTTCAGCACCGCGGACAGCGCCGGTGTCCTCAGACGGAAGAGGGTCCCCACTTCACATGTTTGTGCCAGATGGGGAGATTTGTACCATCAAGGGACTTTTTCAGGGCTAAAACCTGGTTTTAAGATTCAGGTTAAAATTGGGTTTAGTTTATGGTAAGATATGCTGTGATGGCTGAATGTATCGTAGGGGCTGGGGGATGCATTACATTGTATTAATTTGGCAGACACTTTTGCCCGGAGCTATTACAATAAGTGCATTAAACCTCAGTAGGAACAAGACGTCATCAGAAATCCCAAGTGCATTCCTCCCAAACAAACAACTAAGGGCATACTAGTACAATAAATTATACCCTCATGGCAGTTGTAATTTTCAGGGCTTTTTAAACAGAGTCTAGTCTACCTTTATTTATACAAATTGGATATTACACCTCTCAGTATGATTCAATGCAATTCAGCATCAACATAAACAACAGCCTCCAAGATGACCATTACCTTGAATCAACACCTAAAACAGTCAGCACAAAGGGATCCTGACTGTACAACCTCAATAGATATTGGATGTATTGCAAGTGTTGTATTAGACGACACTAGTTTTAGACAGGTGTACTGGAGTGTTGGCTGATATACTGTAAAAAATAGATGTGAAATAAAAACAGACCATATAAGGACAAGTAATAAATCATATAGATTAATATTAATACAAAAAAGTTGTAAGAGCAGCAATTACCGCCACTTTTGGGCTAAACACGTTTGACATATTATCTCCATATGAAGTTGATATGGTGTATGTGTTGGAAAACATTGCTTATTCACACATCAGGTGGACAAAGAGCACCATTAGCACTCATTTGGAGGCATGTTTTTGTCTGCCCGATTCATTTACTTTACTGCCTTTTTTTAGCTCTGTTTGGTTTCTCAGCAAAAGTGTCTCTTGAGCAGCTAAATGCTCCTCTATGTTCTCCAGCTCGTCCCCGACTTGTGTCTGTGTGCTGTTTGGTGCTGAGCAGGTTGCATAAAGTATTAGAGCATTTTCCCTGTAATCTGCTGACGGTGAGACACGACCAAACCAGTAAAGTTCTTGGCCCGGAAACCAAAACAATGGGCTGAAAGATGCTAAAAAGCTCAGAGGAACTGCAGAGTTGAGTGATAATACTGTGGGTTCATTGAGAATGGTCGTCAAAGTTGGGATCTTTTCTTCTTTAAGGGTCGATATGATCATAGTGAATAAGGTGAGAGGAAATGAAAGTCTGCCTTACTTCACTGTGCGTTATATGCACACACCTTCTTTTGAATATGTCTGCTTAGGAGTGACACGAATATCAAAAGACAGAGAGAAGCATAGCAGGACAAACACAAGGAGATAATCTAAATCTGAGCCATAAAAGGGAAGAAAGAGGAGAGACATGGAGACCTGTATGCAAAGGTAGAGACAGAGAGGGTGAGTGAAGGACTGAAAGAGAGACAACAGCTCATCTCACGACTACTTTGACATCTACGGCTGCATCCTGAATATCAGAACATTTCGCCAAAGTTCAGGCATCGCCTGTGTTGACCTTCTCTCTCACTACACCTCGAAACACTTGAACCGGAAGCCTGAAAGATGTTCTTGTTAGGTTCATAATGGAGGACCTTGGGGTCCATCTAAACAACATCTTTGCAGTGAAATATTCCATGTAAGTTAAACAGCAGCCATTATACGATGCCAGAACAGAAAGAACTTCAGAAGCTTTGAGATCAAAACCCCTTTGACTTTGCCTCTGCTGGTTTTTTTCCAACATCTAGAATGCTTTATTCATGCCGTAAAAGTGGAAGCTATTCCCAAAGCTAACATCTGCACTTTACTCTTTTTTAATTAGCACATTTCTTAGTGCAATTAGGAATTTGTTTCTATAAAAGTGACTCACGAATTTGAATATGTTTTAACTTCATTCAAGGATCCTGTGCTCCTCTGAGGGGAAGGGAACTCTACAACTCGTGAGTTCAATGAAGCCCTCTTTTTGAAAAACAAGCTAAAAAACAAGGCTGTTTTTCTTGTTTCCTGAAAAGCTGACCTTTTTAAAAATTCAAGGTTTTTACCCAACAGCAACGATTAAATGTCTAAGGAAAGAAGGAAAGGGAACATGCTCACAAATAGGGAGTGCAAGTGAACCTTTTGACACGGTGTTAAGGAAGACATAGAATAAGGACTGAACCTTCTGTCCCAGCTGTGTTCTTCTGTTTGTTTAAAGAAATGGGACAGCTTCTCTGATACTTTCTTTATTCAGGGTTAGATGGAGGAGGAGCTTATCCTCGGTGGTACAACGAGAGTTTGTTTGTGTGTCACATTTAATGTTGCTTACCTTCATCTTGGTTTGTGCCTTGAGGCCTAACAGACATTTTAATGTATTTTTCTTCCTCCTCAAACATGTTCAAAGCTTTCTTTTTGGAATTTTTGAACTTACATTGTTTACATTCCATCGCAGTCTTCTTCCTTTCTACCTCTCACTCAGTGATCTCCTGCCACCTGTAGATCAGCGTAATAGTGTCAAGTCATTGGCAGGTATGTTTATCACATCAGTCATGTGCATACGGTATGTGTCCTAAGTGTGCACAAGAACTAATTAAATGGGGACCCACTCATGACCCACTCAAAACATTGCTCCCTTGTGCTGGTAGTCATCAACAACACCACAGGAGTATCTTTAACAGGTTGCTGTGCTAGCTGTGCTCTTATTAACATGAACCATGTTCTGTATGATTCCCTCATCAGAAATGATCCAATCGTCTCATAAGTTGAAACGTAAACTGGAAAGTTAAGACAGGTTATATATATTTATCTGTTTATCTTATTATTAGTATTTAGAAGCTACTAGCTTGGTGAGCTTAGTTTTCTTGGCAAATATATTAAATTCAATTAAAAAGGGATAACAAGGTATTGTTATCAGCTGTTTGATTGGCTGTCATTTCAGGGTGCTCAGTTTCCTGCCCAAGACTTACTTCTCATTTGACATACAGGCTTAAGGTCAAGTCACGCTTTTTTCATCCCAAAAATGATTGAGCATTTATTTAAGTTTTGCACAAGTCATCCAGCAGCCGAGCAAACACAATTTAGCAGTTTCCATACAACTGAACTGCACTCTCAATTACAAAACATACGTTCTCCAGGATTACAGTTGCTGTTTCAAACAATTTGAAATATGTGGTAAACATTGTAAATTGAAACAAAACAAAACAAAAAAAACACAACTTACGCAAACAACATCATGGCTGGCTTGAAATGACTATGAAACAGAAGTACTTTGTTAGGTTCAGGCAACAAGAGTATACTTGGTTCACATGGGATGCAAACAGCAGTCTCTCTGTGTCTGTTGTCCGACCCACCACCGGACCACCTCCCCATGTGGAATCCTGCAGAATGATATGAAAGTTAATTGTGATCGGTCAAAACGAAGCTTAATGAACGACAAAATACGTTTCCCTCGAAACGTAATTCCCGATGCAGTTTGTTTGTGTGAATGAATCTCAGGAGACGGGCTGCATGCAGAGCATCCCTCTCCAGACCGTCAGAGAGTGACATCAACATGCATGTTCTTACCTAAGCCGTCAGCCACAGTGGCCCTCCTCGTGCATTCTCTACTTCCTCGTGAAGTACAAGAAACATCAATTAGACTCGAGGGGCCACCGAGGGGCCACTGTTTCCATAGAAACTTAGTTGGTTGGCTAGCAACCCGTACCAGCGTTCACCACCGCTTCATCCCGGCTTTTCTGTCTTCTTGTGTTTCAAGGATGAGAAGAAAATCACTACAAATACAATGTAACCAATAACTGTGACCGCGTAATCACCTCTTGTCATTATTAGCGTCTCTATTTACATTGAGACACAGAGAGCAAAATGCATCATTAGTTGTGGATTACATTTTGATCTCATGATGTGTTTTTGCTGAAGATGAAAGGGGAAAATGAAAGCTTGTTTTCTGGCGCTCAGATTTGACACCGTATCATCTGTAGAACTGTTCCGTTCTATATTGTCAGAAGCTCGAACAGGTAGCCGGCTGGTTTGCTTCAAAGCTTTTAAGCTCTTCAGACTGGAATTTACTGAAATGTCTCTCTGCAAAATAAATGGAGGAACGTAGTTCTGGAGCAGAGACGGAATGAAAGGAAAAGGCTGGCAGGCCTATTAAAGGGATTGGAACTTTGATGTTTTATAAATCCATCTGTGTATATTAGCATTCATTATCAGACATGACAGATCTTTTTGAAGAACTATTTTATATCTTCACGATGACTTTTAGTACATATTCTGCATGTAACCAACATCTTTCTAAATAGTAGCCATGATTTCATCTATTTTCAAAAGCTAACACAGTGTCAGTGTAGGTAAGTGTGAGTCTGATTGGATGGATGAATCAGAAATAACATATTGTACTTCTGAGTCTTCTGGAGGTGTCCCGAGAGTGAGTCAACCAAGCGTCTCTGATGGCATTTGCCCACAGGATCATTGTAGTGATATTTATGCTCCAACCAAATGCCCTTTTCCTCTAACACCCAAGCCAGGTGTCTGTAAAGGCTCCGTGTTTAATCTAAAACCACAAAGGGCAGCAGCGTCGGGTTTTTGTTAAATCAAACCAGTTCACGTCCAGGAGCAGTCGAGCTGGCTCTTTTATATCGACGGTAGATTACATGTAGATTCAAATCCTGAGGTTTGGCTCTTTGCCATCAGGGCTCAGGCCGGTTAAATCTGGATCACCACTTTAAATAACTTCCCAAAATCTCAATTTTGCTATTATGCATTGACATTTTGTGACTGCTTTTGACCTGCACTTTATGCTTCTGTTTTTATTGCAGCACCATGTTGTTGTTTATTTGCTTTAGCTGTTGATTGGACTGATTTCCTATCATTTAACAAAGTGCTTTTTTAACTGGGATTGGGAAAATGTCTATATATGAATTGACATAGTAGTAGTAATAGTTAGTAACAGCAGAAGTAGTGTTATGTTATTGAAATCCAAAATGGTTGCTGTTGTTTTTTGTCTAAGTTCATTTATATTAATCTAACTTCATTACCACAGGGCACATTTTCATTGCACAAACATTTGAACGATTAAAACAACAACATACTCAAGCAAAGCCCTCGGCTGCCAGCTCATCTCTCTAATATACATTGTTGTGATCCACAGAGGCCTCCAGGTTCCACTTCAACAAACCTGAGAACTACATCAGCATGTACCACCAGGAAGGGAGCGACACGCTGTACGTGGGCGGCCAGGCCATGATCTACGTGGTGACGTTCACTAACAGAGGGGTCCGCGACCTGGAGGTATGCTTCACTTTTAGCTGTGTTTGCTGTCTGGTACGCAGACAGGGATTCACTCTCTCAGCTCCAGACAGTCTTTTGTAACGGGCAACCACTCTGCTGCCAAGTCGAGAGGTTATAACACCAGCTGAAATACTAACTACTGTCTTTGAGTCAGTCCACTTTTAAAACCACTTTGGCAACAAAGCAATGTTTGGAAGTGCTGTTCGTACATTCAACTTAAAGCCTTTACACACGGGGGGCTTTTTGTTAGTAATTTCATACAGAACATAAATATTATGCAGCAAAAAAGCAATTTTCCTGTAATGATGTGATTTTTCTGAGCTTTCACACAGCTAATAAAGGAAATAACCAATCATATACAATTTGTACACAATAGTGTACAACAGCAACGTGAGGCTCCGTAGTCCGAACCAAGACGGCAAACTTTATTACTCTTGACAAAGGCAGCACAGACCAGATCTACTCCTTCTTTTCATTCCCTTCACAATAAAAGCCCTGGACATATGCAGTGCATAATTGTTTATCAGAAGGAACTAAAATCCAAATTTTGCTCAAAGAAAACTCAATAACAAACCTTAAAGTAGTTTAGGCTTTACAACAATTTTGCAAATTCAGTTAGAATAGTTTTGATGGAAAATATTTGCAGGTGAGAATTCCAGATTTTTGTGTTGTTCAAGTCACGCCCACGGAGTGTAATAAGCAGCAGGGACCTGAAGGTTGAACCTGTTGCCTGTTTGAACCTCCTCACAGGACTGTGTGGGCGTGTACAGCGTGTGCTTGATTGACATCTCCAGAAGTAAATAGAATCGTTCCCGCATGTAATCAGCCTCTAACAAAACAGAACTTTCTGCATTTCTGTTTGTGTACCGAGTAAACAAATGTGTGAATTTGTGAGGTGTGGGTAGGTGTGTTTTTGAACTTTGTGAGGGTTGTTAAAAAACACTGTTTGCCAGTCTCTGCTGGACAACAGCAAATATAGTCGGCCTCCTGCTGTGAACAGGGACACAGGGAGCCGGAGAGGGCAGAGCGAGAGACGAGGCGGCCGGCCTGCCGCTGACCCAGTTCAGCAGCTGAGGGCAGAGGAAGTGGGATCATGCATACATTAATGAAGCTACACATATCTCTCTCCCTGTGAGGAAAGAAAACATCATTCACTAAACGAATGACGTCGAAATATAGGTTGAAGATTACACAGTGTGTCAGCACTGACTAGCCTGACAAATTGAAGAGACTGTAAGCTCCGCGTTTCATCCACATATGACTATGCTCTAATTTTGGGAACGATTGCTGGCTCAGTGTTGGGTTTTTCCTCAGTGGAGACGAGAAGACATTGAGGGACTGTTTTGATGTTTGATGCCGTGTTTTCTTACTCACACGCTTAAGTGACAGTTTGTCAGGAGTTATTTCCAGAGCAGGTTAGTTCAGCGGAGCATAAGAATGTTCCTTACAGCATCAACAGAAGCATCAACAGAAGCATGAGAGAGCAAGGGTATATTTTGTGAGATTACACAATTATAGTGTGAGATATTTAATATTAAAGGGTCACTCAATTCAGTTATGTACTTTGCAATGGAGAAACAGTGCTGGATTGACTGAGGGGCACATCACTTTTCAGCAGTTTACTCTGAAGGATAAGAAATGTGACTGTGAATGAGTAATGCCAAGTACATGAGGCAGGTTGTACACAGGGCATACAACAAGGACATAAAGGAAACATTTAATGCGATAATAAATGATTGAATGCATCACATAGAGGTGTCAGCTAAGAAAGTCTGTGTTTTCTGTGAGGATTGTGTATCATCAACTACGGCGAGGTCGCGGTTTTTCTTGCTGAAACAGGCCAGTGCGAAAGAAGTTGGCACAAACTAAACAGTCCTTCCTCCCACAGATCCCAGTGGCATCCGACCAGACTGCAATTGATACCTGCAAGGCAAAGGCTGCACCCCTCGAGGTAGAAACTCATCCTCACCGTCAGCACCCGCATCACTTCTACAAGGCTCTCTCATCCCCCATTAGTGTACTATCATCGATGTCATCATGTTCCTTATCACCCTCTTCATGATCATTTGCGGTTGCACCACTGTGAGGTTAGTGCTGCCATGCTCAGGTCTAATTCAGTTACTCAGGTTCATGTCCATGTTTTTTCTAGGACCTAAGAGACCAAATAATTCAAATAAAAACAGTTAAGGCAGAAAAAAATGAATGCATAAGTAATGGTAATGTATATAGACGGGATAAAGTGACACAGGAGAGAACTTCACCTCAAAACAAACACAGATGAGTGAGCTGCCGATAATTGCTACTGCATAATTCCATGAGATTCCAATGTAGAGACTGAGCGAACGCCAACAGATTAATACATTCCACCTGAAATAAATCCAACGGCGTGAGGAAGCTTCAACTTAATGTGAAACGCTCCGAGGCTCCGGAATAATCTTAAGCAGAAGGAAACATTGCTGCTCGTCAAAGAAAATAAAGAAATTATTTTGTCCATATGTGTTTTGGAGCATATCAGGGGCAAGTCCACAGGGAAAAGACCAGGGTGTAGCTGGGAGGTCAATAATCAGGTCAAGGATGCATGTTATAATTGATCAGAATCAGATCCTAGATAATCAGTGTGTATTCTTGCCAGATTAGCTCCCGACTCCAGACGCGTTTTGGCGCTTCTGCCTCCTGTGAACCTGGCTTGGCAGTTAACATTAACCACCGCGGCTTGACTTGAGAAATTATTGTTTGAATTTCAATAGACGATCGCTTTAGTGTGCTGAGAACAGAAAATAAGTGACACCTTGCACAAGAGCACTGTTGTTCTGCTCGGTGCTGTGAAAGCTGCTAATTATGTTCATATCTGATTTGCTGCAGCTGCGTCAGACCTCGAAGCCCTTCAGTCTCCAGCCCAGCAATCTCTGCCTGGATTGTAAACTTGAGTCAGGTTTGACAACGGAGTGATAGTCCTATTTCAAAACGCATTATGTGTTTTCTGTGAAGGCAGCATGTCAACTGGAGTCTACTGTGGCGACCGTGAGCATGTTATCACCAGGACAAGAGCACTTTTGCATTTCAATTAGCTAAGAATTCTACCAGTTTCAATATTTCCAACCATATCTGGTGTCAGCTAAAGTCCATCAAAGTTGTGAGTATAAATAAAGTAGAAGTGTTACTTCAGTTATGGCACAAAGCAAAGAGGGCACTGTCTTCCATGCATAAACAGAGCTAACGCTTCCAGACGGTCTGGCAGTGGCAGGTGGTGGAAAACGAGATGAGTGACGCAGTAAATCTTATCCCAATAAAGATAATGGCTATGGGAAGGGGAATGAAGGACAGAAGTGATCCTTCAGTGATAGCCACACGGTTTGTGGTAAATATAACCCCTTGATTGCCATAGATTAACAGTAATTCAGTAGACAGACTGTATTCTCAAGTCCACCTCAGTTTGTCCAGAGCACACACGTCAAAAAGGAGCAAATACACTGACGGCAAATATGGTCCGGGTGGAGCAAAACATTAACAAAGTGTTAATTAAAGCTAATCCCAAATCTTACTTTAACCCTAAAAGTCCACCAAAATGACCCAATTGTCAACTCTCAGAAGCAGCATTCAGGCATTCAGATTATATTTGGAGAGGTTGTACTGTTCAGCTTGTCAAAACATTTGTATAATGTGCTCTGTGAGTCTAGTACAGCTTTTTTTAAAGATTACTTTTGGCATTTTTACCTTAACTTGACAGTTTTAAAGACAGACACGGGAAATGGGGAGATAGGGTGAGGAGCTCGGACATATCTGGAGTAGAGCTGCTGTTTCTTGGCGTCAAAAGCTGCCAGCTAAGGTGAGTTTTGCATCTGATCAGGATGCCTCCTTGACGCCTCCCTTTAGATGTTTTCTACTGGTAAGAGGCCTGGGGGAAGACCAACAACACGATGGAGAGAATATTTGTCTCCTCTGGATGGACTGAAATGGGGGGAGAGAGGGATGTGACATGCAACAAAGGTCCCAAGGCTGGAAGTGAACCTAGGACGTTGGGGTAAGGTGGCATTCATTGTAACCACTCGGCTATGAAGGTGCCTTGGCTCTAGATGATCTTTGTCAAATCTGAGAGAAGTAGACAAGTTCACTTCAGTCCAAAAACACTGGACTTTGGATGCTTTTATTAAAGCAAAGCTGCTTGCCAGTGTGGACTCAACCTGATAGCCGGAGAAGAACGTAGATACCGGCAAAACCTCAAAATACATTCAATGACAAAGCGTCCATGCCAACGTTTTTAAACTACTGTACATCGTGGTCAAGTTAAGGGGATGGTTCTGTTTCAAACTACACTTTTTTCCGTGCGTTTTACTACAAATATCCAGCAACACGAGCAATCAGTGCACCCGTGCAAGGCCCTGCAATGTTAAGGCAACAAAACTACTTAGTTAGGTTGAGGAAAAGTTTGGGTTACACATGTAAGAAGTCAACATTGACCTCGGGTTCATGACATGGGACACGAACATCGGCCTCCTTGGTGAAAGTCCCATCCACGCTGACTCCCTGCCTATGGAGACCTTGTTGCTCTTTACACTATGTCGCCTTTCCCTGCTCATGATTACGTGGATAAAATACAAATTATAGTGCATACGTTTCCATAGGTATAGCTTACCACATCGGGTTAAGGTAGCCCAACCTCCATTCCCTTATTTAAATCTACACTACGTAAAGAACATACTACTTCCTGCACTGGCACCGAATGTTGGCTTTGGACATAAATCATGAGGTGCGGAATGATAAAATATGGATGTAATTCCCAGGGGCATTAGGTTGGTATTGCAGCCAAGCCAAGCAGTGCAGTAAAACAACATGATGCACCACAAGAATGTGAGACCACCTTCAGCCTGATCAAACCCGACGCTACTGAAGAAGACATTGGTTTGAGGTTGACATCAGCTTCTAGGTCGACAACCTCAGTCCTAGATTTTAGTGTGGGCCTCTTAAAATCACTTCACAAACTTACCCAAACTCAAAGTATTTCTCTCAAAAACATAAGCACACAATGTAAAAAATGTGCACACTCACACACAGATTACCTAGCCCACCCACACGCCTACACATCCACCTACACACACTTACACAAGCTTTTGGCCCTGCTTGTTGGACTTAGTGATGTACTTCCTCCATCTCCACTTTTTACTTGTTTTCATCAGAATTTGTTATTTGATTGTTTTCTAAAAAAAACACTAAAACATACGTGACCCGACATGAGCACCACCTAAAATCAGAATTTACCCCTTAAGGTTGTACTCAGTATTCATTTCCATCTACCATCCTGTAATGCCTTTGAGATAGAAGTCCATTTTCTGTACTTAATGAATAAGTGATGCATATGGAGCATAGCGGCGCTGTACTGCAGGGCTAAGCCCCCTGTGTGCTGTCTGCCAAAAATGTTCAGAGCATGGATCACCTCCAATTTTTCTCTCTCTCTCTCTCACTCTCTCTCTCTCTCTCTCTCTCTCTCTCTCTCTCTCTCTCTCTCACTGAGAAATCCGCTTTTTGCTCTCGTAATCTGTTTGATGTTGTAGCCTACTCGTTCTTTGTTTCTCTATCTCTCTACTCCACCTTCCTCTCTTCCTCTGTTTGTTTTTCTCAGTCCCTTGGTCTTGTCTTGTCTTCTCTCTCCCTTTTGTGCTGCCGAATCACTTTTTCACACATCCTCCGCTGTCTCCAATCTCCTTTGCCTCTCTGTATATTTAATCGCTCTCCCAATCTGTATTTTTCTCCCTTTTCTCTCTTGCTTCTGCCTCATTTTCTGCCTTTGTCCCCCTCTGTCACTGCCTCTTTCTCTCACAGCTGGAGTGTGATAATTTCATCACCGTCATTCAGAAAGTCAACGACACAATACTTGTATGTGGAACAAATGCTGGAAGCCCCAGGTGCTGGATGCTGGTAAGAGTTTCTTCAGACACATTTCTTGAAATGCTTTACTGTCTATTATTACTCTTCAAGTCTAAATAGTCTCAAGATCAATTGTAATTAGCATTTATTTATTTGCTCTATTATTTCTTTGTGCTGGTGAGATGAAGGCCGGGAGTTGTTTATTGCCACCAAGGATGTTTTCAGTGATAAATAAGTGCCCCCATGGTTAAGTTAAAGTGTTCTAAACCCTGTGTGGTGACACACAGATAACGCTGAGTGTTGGGTCTTGGGATAATAAATTATAAGATGTTTACTGCATAATGATGCATGCTGGGAATAAACACGGTTTAAAAGGTCAGACTTCCCCCAGGCTCAAAGGTCTCCTCTCTCTCCCGCCAGGTAAATGACACTGTGCTGGCTGACGTTCAGGGCAACGGTCAGATAGGGCCCTTCTCTGACATCTCACCACCTTACCCTTCCCAGAAGTCCATCAGCTTGCCTGCAGGTAACAAACCCAGAAAATAAATGACACGTCTGCCAGCAGGAGTTCATGATTCACTCTGTGACGTAGAAGAATATCATCTTACAAACACGTGATTATAGATTCTTCATGGTTTAGCATCAACAAAGGAAGACAGCGAGCTAGCTAGTAGGTTTGGTACCTCACCAAGTAAAAAACAAAGCACACCTAATGACTCTTTACCCATCAAGTACCACAGTGAGAATGTCCTCCCAAGAAAAATCCCAGCATCAGTGAACATTTTAACCCTAACCATGGTCTCTCCGGAACCAGAGTCGTTTTTGAGCAAAACCTCGACCAAATCAGTGTTGATATATAAATCATTTTGGAAACATTGGTCGTGTTTTCACATATATTTTTTAAGTGCACTTAAGAAAAGCTCTATGGAAATGGCAAAATTCAATAAAACTTCCTCAATCACGCAAATAACTTTTAACGTTAGCTTGAGGTGGTTTTTTCCCTTCGTCGAAAAATAGTTGAATCGCTAAATGGGACGCGGACACGCAGACTACGCCGTATATATAGCACTCCAAACCAAACGTGCATTTCTTTTTTGTGACTTTTCAAAAGTTTGCTTGAAATTCTCTTGACAATTAAATAGAAACACAGCTCGTGATTTATAATGCACCAACAAATGGTGTTCTACAGAGATGGACATTAAATCATATCACACCTATAGGTCTAACAAACAATGTATTTTGTGGTTTATTTTGGTTTATTTGTTGATCTCAACTGTCCGTAAAAGCTATAAAAAGCCATAATTTAACTTGGAGGTATTTATAATAATCAGACAAATGATAGCTGCATCATATTTTTGAACTGTACCAATTTGCATCAACATTGACCAAAGTCAGGCTCGTTTTTTACCAAGGAAAGCCTTTGATTGTGGTTATACCACTTCAATGAATTGACTTTGCCATTATAAAATGCTGGTGTGACCAGGCCCAAATAGAAGGAGTAAAAAGGATTATTACTACAGGAAGTAATGAGGTTATGTGTGTCTCTGAGTTCCACTCTGTAAGAGTGGGTGTGACCAGAAAGAAAGGTGTCACTTTTTCAAATATCTTATTTTGGAACAAAGCCGTCTTCGGCTCTTTGTATTAACTTTGCTCATTTTAGTCGGGAGCAGCAAAGCGACACTTGTGAGTCTCGGGCTCGGCAGTGATCCATCTCTTATTATCGCTCTCTATTCATAACGTGCACATGAGTAGATGCTTTTATCTAAAGTACCTCACGCTAGTTCAAAGAGCCAATCCTCTACAAGACCGGTGTGTTAGTAGATTTTATTAAATCATGTAGCACTTGGCTGACACATATGTATTTTACCTCTAACAAGATCTAATGTGTTGCCTTATTATAATGTGCCGTGCTAATCGGTCGATATCTGCAATGAGAAACATAATTCTGCTAGTTTTCTTTCTCCTGTGTTAAGAATAAATGTTGAGGTGGGTTTTCAATTGGTAAGTCACAATATTCTTCAAAGAATTAAACTCCGGACAGTATTTTCTAATTTATAAATCTACGTGAGTAGCTTTTTAATACCTTTTCAACAAAAGGAGCCTCACTTAATTGAAAACTATCGAGTGAATGAAACCATTCACCACACGGTTGAATCAAGGCCCTCATCTCCTCGTGTTAGAGTGTCAGTATGTAGCTGCATAGAAAAGAAGAAGAGCAAGAAGAAGAAGATGAAGAGGAGCTACAGTTATCGCTTTTGGGGTTTCTTTCAAGAGAACTGGACAAATCCGATTCAAAGCGTTACCGCAAACACATTTTATTTTGCTCAAAGGACGTCACAATCTGTAAGGTATATAACACCCTCTATACTTCGACCCCCCCGTCCCATCTTGTTACCCCCCAACTTCAATATGAAGAAGAGCAACAACACAGGGCCAATATGACCCAATTTTATTGCAGTGCCTCAGCAGATCATATACTGTATGTTATTTCCAAGTGTAACATCACTCGGGGATCACACCACCCGGACTGCCAAACACACCAGAGTCAGCCATCTGCCGTTGTGCGTTCACATGGACAGAACTCATGTAAAACATTGCTAAATGTTGAACTGACTGCACGGACAGATTCAGAAGTAATTCAGACACGTTTTACAGACTCCTGCACGCAAAAGAGAAGAAGAAAAAATGTTTATGCTTTGTGAAATCAAACATTTTTAATATTTTTTTTTTCTGATAACAACAATATCCTTTTCAACAGGCTGACAAATCCTTTAAAATGGGACCAGCCATGGCACTGTATGCATCCCTGCAGGTTTACTTCCATTACTCCATTAGTTGAGGAATATACAGGTTATGAGGATAAAACTGAAAGGTGACTCTATTCCATACATTTACAGAAGGAAAAAAAAAACACAATCAGATTACTGATAAAGTTAGTAAAATGGGGATAATTAGCAGAATTACAATTTTAAAAACATTTAAACTGGGTCCCTGGCTGCAGAGCCGTGGCTGCGAGGCGCCGATGCACTTAGCTGCAATATCACTTGCAGTCACTAGAGGTTTGGGGGCGGTTGAGAATAGTGAGTGAGGAGTCAGCAGGCAATCAATGGCAGGATAAAACAGGCAATAAAAACATGTTTTGAGAAAGTGTGATTCACCGCGACCAGGAGGTCCTCGATCATGCAGCCATAACTGGCCTCCCAAAATATTACGCTTCTGGCAGAGACAGTTTAAGTCTGATGGGCTCTAAAGTTAGTGAAAAAATATGCTTTCAGTTTGTGGAAGTGTCTTCCAGCTTTGAAAAAGCATTTGAAATGTGAAAAGCATACTTAACAAAGTATAACTTTCCATTTAAATGGGCATAATTATGACACAGGTAGACACTAATATTTGCTGGTTTATACAGTAAACCAGCAAATATTCCCACTCTAATGTCTGCCTACACATTTTACCTGCTGTCGGTAAATCTGGTTGCTAAGTTTATGATCTCAATCTCTAGTTTCAAGTCTTCTTCAATACAGCATGATGTTCATTTAGCAAATTATGGTCCATTTAGAGTCAAACAGACCATAAAGCAGGGGATGCTTTAGGGCGGGGCTACACAGTGATTGTGAGATCGTTACCACAGCGTCCAATCTGGCTATCCTCCGCGTTTCCGTCTTACAACGTTAACCCTTTCATAGTGCGTTTTCATTTCATGAAGATTATTTGTCCCATTTTGGTCACCTAAAAATGTCTTATTCAGCATTCGGTTGTACATAGCTCCCCCTCTCTTGTGTTGCAATAAAACAAGATGGCGACAGCCGGAAACCAAGATAGGGGCAGCCAAAATGCAGAACTCGAGGATTCAAAATGGATGTCCACAAACCAATGGTTGGTGTCACAGTTGTGTTTTGCAAATCCAGCTGAATTGAATTAAATAAAAAGCAATTGTTAGGGGTGCAATTCATCAATTACACAAGGTCACCACACAGACATGTAGTGCCTTGCACATCTCCACGGGGGAAAAAGAACTCCTGATTATGTGATATCGAGCAGTGCCGAGCCACATTATCTCAACAGAGATGTTTCTAAATGAAAAACGATCTTCCAATGTACACAGTGCACGATGAGGGACGGACAGCATGTAATCGAGATGGATTGTTTGTAGAGACGCTGAGAGATTAGTGAGAGGTTAGTTGGCGCTGCAGGACGGCGCTCTTCCAAAATGGGGATCGATTTTTTGAAGCAACCATCCGACCCTGTGCTTTAGTCGAGCAGCATTTTAATAACAATCAGTCCTAATGAAGATGCTGCTGCTGCTACCATTTCAAACGCTCCCCTTCTGCATTGCTATGGAGACAGAGCTCTAAGTGGGGTTAGAAGAATATGGTGATTGGTGGCTGCTTGTCAGTGCAGTCAGCTATTCTGCCTTGATGTCTTCTTTGCTCTTGCTCTGCCTCTCCTCCCCTGTTGTTTAATTCTGCCTTCGTCCTCCTGGGCCTCCTTTTTTCCTGCCTTTACTCTTCCCTCTCTGTGCTTAATGCCTTCTCTCTGTATCTTCCTCTCCTCCAGCTTCAGTCAATCCCCCTCTGTGTCACTCCAATCTCCCTGCCTCCCTGTCTAACCTTTGTACCCTTTTCTTTTTTTACCCTCCCTTTCTCTCCATCTTTCTTCCTCGCTGTCTCAGATGGGAGCCTGTACTCCGCCATGTCGTCGGTGGCAGGTCACGCCGGCTCGATCCGCCGTACGTTTGGCTCCCAGAAACTCCTGAAGACAGAGAACATTTGGCTGCTGAGTGAGTAGGAGGAAGGGAGTCACGTGGAAACCGTGGCGGTTTAGATTAATGAATATGGAGATGGTGGGCGGTACTCTCTGTAAATCACCCACTATCATTCCCATGGGGAGAAACAACATGGAGGAGTATTCACTGTCACTGTGTTTGTGGTTTGGGTCACGATATTTACAACACAAAAATGCGATACAGAAACTGAAAGCAGCCTGTTGATTATCACACAGAGACATTTCACCCCCAATTCGAAAATACATATTTTTCCACCAACCTGTTGTGCTATTTATCAACATAAAATATTTTGCTGTGAGTTGTCTAGTTTAGGAGATATTCGCCGTAAAGATGCCGGCTTTTTTTTCCAATATAGAGAGACTAGATGGCACTGCAAAAAAATACATTTGAAAGACTCAAAATCAGTGTCTCTCTCCAGAAATCATGACCTGGTTACTTCACAATTCACAATCCTTGTTGTGAGCAGTTTGACATCTAAATTATTTTATTTCTACACCCACCAACTGTATCACAGCGCAAAAGGAAGCACGCATACACGATATTGCTAGCTCACTTAGCAACGCTGAGCTAGCTAACGTTCCTGCTCAGTAGGGGAGGATGCCATTCATGTTTACATCTCACGCTGTCACGACCACGAGCCTCTCGTCCTTGTCACACCAAAACAATCTCGGTCGATAAATAACACTACAAGTAAGATGCAAAATACATATTTTGGATTTTTTTTGGAGTGAACTGTCCCGGCATGAAAAGTTGGATGTAATCATGAAATAAGACACTAGAAGAAGAAACAAATTTTTTTTAAATGTCATCACCAGATCCACAGTTTGCGGGTGCAGCCATAATCCCGTCTACGATAAAGTACAAGGAGGAGATCTACTTCTTCTTCAGTGAGATCAACAAGACAGCCAGAGTGGACGAGGAGCCTTACAAGGCCCGCATTGGCCGAATCTGCACGGTAAAAATCACACTTTCACGCCCGTGTTTTGGGAAATGTGCACAAATCCAGGTCCATACACAAACTCTTGTTCTACCTTTGCTGGTTCTCCATTACATTGCATATATCTGAATTGTGAGCATGCAATCAAAGAGTGCTTTGCCCTTTTCAGATCGTTTCATTTGATTAATTGGTAGAGACGAGCAGATTTGGTATAAATACTGTTTCAAAAGAAAACCACTGGTTTGAGTGAATTGCTAAGAACTCAAGGAGAGAACGCTTCAGAATACGAACAAATCCCAAAAGTGCTGAGTGAACATGCAACATAACGCAAGATGATATAGTACTACGATCATTTAGTTTATTTTCTACTGTCCACTTTACATTTTCTCAACATGTTTCTGGTTTTATACCCCGAGCAGTAAATCTGCACAGAATAGAAAATGGTAGGATTTCTAAAGGTTCTGTACAATACAGAGCAGCTGCTGCTGCTGCATTGCTCAGGGTGGAAACATGCAAGCATGTTGCTGCATTTATTAACTATTTGGCTTGGCCACACATCTTGGACCAATCTGTGTATTGAACGCCCATAAACATAAAACATCAACATCTTTCCTCCTAAAATGTCAGAGTATTTCTATGGACCCTTTTACTACCGACGGCATCAAAATATGCTTGCGCATGTTGGCAACAGAGGTGGCAACAATGTCGTACATCAACATTGTTTGCCAACTGTAAAAGGGTCTATGAGGGGGGGGGGGGGGGAAGGGACTCTAGGTATCCTGGATACGGTGTCAATGTCACAACTTGGCAGGAGACACAAAGTGAAACCGGATGCCCTACTGTGACTTTGTTGTCACAGTCCTTTTATGTCATTTCCAGGTGGATGAAGGGGGCATCAAAGCCCTGCTGGCGGACTCATGGACCACCTTCATGAAGGCCCGGGTGATGTGCGGCGCGGGAAACACTCAGCAGCAGTACAACAACATGAAGCAGGCGGTGGTGCTGACCGCGCAGGACAAGAGGGCCGGAGTCCTGTACGGCCTGTTCTCCAACGCATGGTGAGCTGGAGCACAGAACAGAGAACAGCATTGTGGGTAGACATAGGTTACCTGATTCAACTCCTGTCTGGAGGCTAGTTGGAAGTGGACATGAAAAGAAAGATGAACATGCTGTTTACAAGTATAAGATGAATGGCCATGCCGGCGACCCCCATGCACGTTCTGAATAAGTGCCGTCCGTAGAAGCATAACACATAACATGAATACAATAACCTAATGCAACACAAGTTGAAGATGTATAATTAAAGTATTCAGGAATTCAAAGGAGTAACATCCCGTAGTGCCAGTGTAGAGTATATAAGGAGGAGAGCAAACATAACCAAGGGCTTAATATTGACTTAATAATCAGACGTAATATTTACTTGTATACAGAAATCTTCCAGAACATTCTTCAATAGAATGACAAAAAACTGATATATAAAACGAAGCTACACAATATCACAGTAACTGACACTCATCCACCCACACAGCAGTACACACCACATACCAGCAACACCTACCGACACACAAAATACACACACAATACACACAAAATACACACCCACACACTCGTGATTCTCATTATATCAGACTTTGAAAATGTGTCTTGTCGGTGTTTCGTTTCCGTTTCATTTCAGTTTTCCGTGGAAATAAGAATCTGCCAAATAATTATTCTCAAAGTTTGCAAATCATGTTCCAGCATTAATATCAGCTGGCACACATCTGATAATGCAAGTACAGGAAACATTGGGATTTGCTGCAAGACATTGATAAAGAAATGTCTGTAATTGCTTCCCGTCCTGTCAAATGTATTATTTGCTCATGTGGACACATTTTGATTCAGAAAAGAAACAAGTTTTCAAAATGCAATAGAGAAAAAGCAATTATTTTTCCGTGTTAAAAACACAAACAAGTTCTAAAGGCACAATAAGACACAATGCTATTTTTCCTGCAGTGAGGAAGGACTTGATGGAATCAAACCTTTTTATCTCTAATCGCCTCTATGTTGGGAACACCAACAGAAGATTTGTCACGTCAAAATATGGAAAAGTGACACGGCAGGTGCTTATTGGAATACGCATCTCTACTACAGCTTTGCAAACTTTTGGCTCATGAAGCTGGTCGTGAATAGAAAAGAAGCTGTGTGTCGCAGAGTGCTATTAAAACCCCCTTTGAGACTCATATCTGAATGTTCTGTATACTGTACATGTACAAAGAATGCTCCTAAAACCAAAATAATATCGGCGTATTCGGAATAAGGCGTAATTCAGAATATCCAGAGATTATGATGTTTTACTTTAAAGTGTCCACTGCCCTAAAACGAGCCGTGGATTATTGACATTTTCTATTCTAGAGGACTGAGTTGTCTGTGGATTTCTAGCTGTGCTCTCTTGCATGTTCCTCACAACCACTCGTCTTGCTTTTGTGGTTAGTGTAATTACTCTTCGCTCTGCCTTTGTTCAGGGGCAAAACAGTGATCTGTGCCTACTCCATCGAAGATATTGACCAGGCTTTCTCTACATCCAAACTGAAGGGTTACAGCAGTCCATTCATCGGCAGTCGCCCTGGGATGGTAAGAAAATATGACCAGATTTCTCCTTCTTTTCTTTTTGTCACACTGAGAAAAAACATACGCAATTGCATGAGTCAGCCTTTCATTTCTGGTGAAAAGATTGAAGTGCTATTTTTGAAAGGCACAAGTTGATAAAAGAGAAGCAATTTGGAACTCTTTGTTTAAGGGCATATTGTGTATTCAAGTGCCCAGCCTGGTCTGAAACGATTACATCACTTCTCTTCTCAGTGTGTCCGAAAACACTCAACGTCCGGAGGTCACAACGACATCAAAAACCTTGGGGTGATCAGATACCACCCGGAAATCGAGGACGTGATCCGGCCAGTCGGCGTGGCTCCGCTCGACCTGCCCACGGACGACCAAATCACCCACGCTGTGGCAGACATCGTCCTGGCGGTCAACGATGAGCACTACAGCGTCCTGTACCTCGGAACAGGTGTGTGTGTGTGTGTGTGTGTGTGTGTGTGCATGTATATGTGTGTGTGTGTGTGTTAAAGATTGAGCTGTTGGGACGGATTACATTTTCATGTTGAGGAATTGTTTGCTATGGCCTTGAGCTTTCTTCAAATGGCCTCATGTGCTGCAAAAACTGGCTGCCCAGATGTTTAATTTTCATCCTCAGCGAGTCGTTAACGTTGTCATTCTGCTGTTTGGTGCTAAGCATGTCATGTATAGTTGGTTGATCAAAGCTGAAAACAGCTGCTGCTGGTAATGGGTCTGAAAGAAAATATGTAAAACATCCTTAAACCTTTCTGTATTTATTATCTCACCCATGTGACCGCACCTGCTTCGTTTCTGGTGGTCAGTTATTGTGGCAATAAGAATGAATAGATTTTCTTTTGAATTTTTTAAGAACTTGGACAGCAACATTTGCTCTCATATCAGGACTAGTGAGTCCTACTGTACAGCGAGGTTGTAAGGTTCCAGTTCAGCAGCAAAATGAAAAACAAGAATACAAAATAACAACATAGACATTTAATTAATGCAAAAAACAATAAAACGTAGAGCTGAAAGATATGTTTGAATTCTTATTTTAATTTGAATAGAAGGAAAAAAAATGATGCAAAGTCAAAATGTATTCTGTGGAAAATCCATTCAAACGCTTCCTGGCCTTCACACGACTGTTTTCTCTTTGATCAGAGCAGCAACGCTGAGCCGCTGCTGTTGCCGATAGCAGTTGCTCACAAAATTGCATTGTGCCTCAGGGAGATTACCATGGCAACCATCACAAGTCATATGCTCATGCGTGCGTGAATGTCTCACCGAGCTGAAGTTCACCCAAAAAGATGAGCAAGTGTCATCTTCCTGAGCACAATTTTCTCCTGCAGTGGACGTGTGCTTGTCGTTCTGGGTTGCTTCTAATAATAGCACACACACACACAAAAAACAACCAACAACATAGTGTTAAAGAAGTGAGATTGGCCTCTCGCTGTGAGCTTCACTAACTGAGTCAGAAACAAGGAGGAGAGGATGGAGGGCTGTGAGCAGCCGAGGGTCTCTGCGGTGGCCTGAAAAGAAACCAGAGCAGAGTGAGTCTCACTGGTGTCTGACGCCAGAGGAACAGGGTGTACAGGGTGAATCTAGCCTGCTCAGAGTAACGTTACAGTGTTTTATATTAGATGAACCTCTAGTCGAGTGGCATTCAAAATATTAGTGCAGTGGCCGATCGCAGCCATTTGGAACAGGCCTCTTGCTTGGCTCCCGGTCCCGGACGAACTGCATTGGAAACAAAAAGACCTGTAAAGCTCTGCTGCAGACAACATTCTCAGGTACACAGAGCTGTGAAGCTCCGCACCCTGCTGCTACACAGAGCGCTGTCCGCTTGTTTATTCCACGTTTATTAATATTAAACTTGTTACATGTCCAAATCACCCCACGTTCGACAGAGCACTCCATGGGGTCCTCGGCTAAACACCCACCAAGTGTGAAGTAGATCGAGTGAAGGACACACAGACAGGCTGATATATATATGAAACTGATGATGATGATGATGATGATGATGATGATGATAATATATATATATATATAAATATATATATATATATATATATATATATCCTTTTTCTCCATTTTTGGAGGGACACAGTTCAATGTTATATTTTACAATTCTATTCAGTTCCATTTTATTTGTTTAGCCCAACATCAAAAATGCCAAATTTGCCTCAGAGGGCTTTACAATCTGTACAACATACGACGTCCTCTGTCCGTGGGCCCTCGTATCGGAAGAGGAAAAAAACCTTTTGACAGCGGAAAAAAGGAAGAAACCTCAGAGAGAGATTATGAGGAGGGATCCCTCTCCCAGGATGGAAGTGCAATGGATGTCATATGTAAAGTCGCCATCATCATCGGCATGTTCTTACGAAGCACAATGTATTTGTTATCCTTTCACTTGGCTCCTCCACCGTTTTCTGTTCACAGCTAGCGTAGCTTTGAAAGTGATGTCAGTCAAACTTGACAGTCAGCTGACTTGTCATCATCATCATGGCACGGACACAGCCAGCAAACCAATGCTAATATCTTTCTCGTTTGCAAAAGCAACTTTGCATTCATCGGTTTGTATTCCAACATACAAACACAAAATTAATTAATTTGATTTGATTAAAAAAATAAGAAAAAAATAAGCAAAGACAGGATGAGGCCACAGTTGGGGGGCTCCGGAGGCCCCTCGAGGTCGGAACCCCGTTGGATAATTCGTGCTTGACTCCTCTGATCTTTTCTGAATTCCGGTTTGATCGCATTCCTTTTTTTCTCCTGTTCAATATTGCATCACTGTCAGGGCACCAACTATTAATATTCACAGGATTGTAAAAATGTCACGATCATCAGTCTGCACAATTAATTCCAAACATGCCCATGTATCTGTACAACCCATGGAGAGAAGCTCCCTCCTCGAAATAATCCAATCTTTGGTGAGTGGGGCAGACAGACACACAGACAGACAGACACACAGACAGACGGACGGACGGACGGACGGACAGCTTTTCCTGATGGATGGTTGCATTCGAGCAGCTTAAACCAGGGTTAGTCTTCCCTTTCCATGGAAATTCCAATGAATATCCTTCACAAAGTCGAGCTCAGAGACAGAAACATATTAGTGAGGTAGCCTCGCGGGCAAATGTAGAGGTCAAACACTAAACATCTTCATCGGGGATGAGGTCACCCTCAGCGAGGCTCCCTCTGCTGAAGACAGAAATCTATTAAGTGCACTTTAATTGAACTGTGGTGCATGTTTCCTGTTGGGTCCGGTTTAGTTTGGTCTGGTGAGAACACTGTGATTCAATGTCTCTCTGATGCAGACTTAACAACCACATCGAGACCACCTGATAGCTACTAAAGGGAACTTTCATTTAGTGTTGATTCCGGCGGTCCCTGTGCATGAAAGTGGTAGTGTGTCCGAGCACCAGAGGCCCTTTGGAAAACCTCCAATTTTACTGCAGCAGGGGTCTGACACTCTGCCCTTCTCAATCCTGGTCCTGGTGCTCCTGTGGCTCCCCTCCCTCCAGCGGGCCAAACAACACATCCTGGGTCTCCAGCAGCGTGGTGTCGGTGTTGGGTCCCAGCGGGGACCAGAGGAGCAGAGAGGAGAAGCTCTGCTCCTGGAGGAGGAGGAGGAGACTCTGGTGCCGGGCGCTGGGCTCTCCTCCCGGTCTGCAGGCCAAAGCCGGCAGGGTAGCTGGATCTGGGTGGACCGGTCTCTGCTGGAGGCCCCGCTGGAGTCTGAGCTGAAGGAGTTTCTGGTGAACCTGCATGATTTCATCTGATTTCACCAGAATCTGACCCTGTGGCCCCGATGATGAGCACTATTTACTAAATAGAAATCGACTCTTCTCTTCTCTCTGATGGTCTGGTTAACTTGTGAAGGTCATGTAGAGGCATCAGTATTCATTCCAGACTGTTTAATGCAGTTAAAAGTTCCTCACAGCAACTTTAGAAGTTGGCTGGGTGTCTGCTTCCACACAGGGTTTGTTTGTGATGCGAACGCAAAGTCGACCAGCTGGTCCATATGTGACGCGTGCATGAATCCAAATCCAAATGCTTGATGTGGGTGCTGATTGTGGCAGCCTTTTAATCCTCATCATGTGTACCTCTATTTGCCAGAGCTGTATACCGCTCTGTGAGTTGGACCTCATTTAAACAAACAGGTAGTCTCATTAAGATCAATCTCTTCTTCAAGGGAGACCTGTGCACAAGAGTAAACATGCACAGTATGAGTGCAGACAAGCACACAGAAAGTCTCTAAATTCCTATCGGTGTCGCTACATATTCGGCTGATCAAAGCGAACACTCGGCTTTAACTCAAGTAGAGAGACGAGACCGTGGGTGCCACGCATTAGGGCGCCTTGTTGGTGGCCGTAATAAAAGCAGAGAACATTACTCATCTAATTTCCCACACACATGGTGTTTATTCCAGTCACGGTTGTCTGGCGAAGTGATGATGTTGTTTGGAGGCTAAAGGAATTCACTTTAAAATGTTGACCTCGAACAAACTGACAGGACGGTGCCATGCAGAGTCCCAATTAGCTAAATATCTAACCGTACACTCTGTGCTTTAAACCCTTTCTGACTGGTCTCGGGGGGACTTCCCCTGTAAGATGCGAGCTGACAGAACGCTGCAGGATTTGACACAGTTAATTCTTCTTTCTTCTGATCACCAGACAGCAAATAATTCAGCAGAATCTATGCATATAATAACCAGCTACTTCAATAACACAACATTCTCATTCTCATAACACTCAATGTAGTACAGTCAGACTGACAGAAAGCTGTTTTATGACCTGATTTCTTTCAACAACACTCAAGAGGAACTCAAATGATTTTGTAGCATCTTGGTTTTTGGTGATATGTCCTTTCTCTGAGTCATGTCCTCCAAACAGACTGGGGTTCGATGCCTCAGTTAACGGTTGGTAGTTTAGGTATTTTCATGTGGGTCTTCTCAGTTTCATTGGAGTCCCTGTTGGTCAGAAGTGACTTAAGTCCCGGTGATATCTGCAGCAATACAGCTGGAAATACAGCGCTGTATTCAAAAACGTCTGGCAATGTAAGACCTGGTCTAAAGATAGTTTAGACTAATTCAAGGCCTGAGAAAATGGATTCCTTTTTAAAGTAGAGTAGAGTTTTTGGTTACTGGAAGAGATACAGAGTAACCCTATAACCAGAGGTCACACTGACATTAAACATCTCTGTGAAACGCCGAAAAAAGTTCTAAGACTTTTTAGGCTTTTTTTTTCATCCTTTTTTTGTTTACTTACATCAATAAATAAATACATACATAAATTAAATGACATTAATAATGATACTAACATTTATTGTTAGTATTATTATTGTTATTATTATGTCCAATGCCTGTCTTTTTAACATCATTTTCCTCTAAAATATCTGCATAGAATAACGGAGGGTTGGGGAACGATGAACTTAAGTTCGGGTGAAATCACTTATTCCCTGCAAGTCAGTTGGTTCTGCTGACAAGCGACAAGCTTGCGCCATCAATGCTGCACACATTGCAAAATCTAGACTCGACCACTGAAATCCAACAAACAGAAGGCGTCTGACTGTGAGTGTGTTGTGTCAGGACCCTAAAGAGTGACAAAGGATGTATGGCAGGTTAGTAGAGCTCAGTTAGTCTCTGAAGGCTGGCGAATGTTGGAACTGGAACAAAAGAACAGGCAGTAGTGAAAGATTTCTTTTCCTCCAGTAACTCCCTGACAGATTGACCACCAGAAGATGTAAAGCTGCTTGGACTATTTATTTTCAGACATGGAGTCGATACAGCAGAAAGATCCCCTCGGGGATGAGGGTGAGGCCAGGGCCATACACTTGTTTCAACTTGACTTAGTGTTTGAGATCAGAAGCAATTTTGTTTTCACACACTGCGACACTCGAGGTGGCAGTAGCTTAAAGGTTAGAGAGACGAATCAAAAGGTTTGTTTTTTAAGAAGTGAGTGATGGTAACTCAGTGTTAATGTGTAGAGGCTGTAATTCAGAGAGAAGGGAAATGGACCTTTTTACCAAGACGGCGAGTTTGAATCTTTATGCCAGCACTCAAAGCATTAAGATAAGGAGTGTGTGCGACTGTATAGATGTTAAAGAGGTACTAGGGAATGCGTGTTTGCTGTAACAGAATATGTGCACTCAGCAAACTCTCCCTGGATAAATAAAACCCCAAAAAAACAGATTATCTCAGCAAAAGTCGCACGAGTTCAGCATTGTCACCCTTTTGCTCTGCAGAATGTCGTGCAGCTATCTTTACACTGATACACAGCTTTGATAAAAGAGCTGAAAATAGCTGTGGACAGGATTAAAAGAATCACATGGAATAAAATGGATGAAATGGGGAATGGTATCTTTGACTACAAGAAGAAACAGATTAGAAGTTTATGAAAAAGAGACGAGACAGTTTCAGGACAAAGGAGGTCTAAGTGACAGCCAGAACCTGCCAGCATAATTACCATTGTGAGAGTGCCTCGTGCAGGGAGCATGCAGGAAATGAAGATGGGAGATAAAAAGGCATCACTGTAATCACATTTTCACAGTGGGGAAGGTAAAGAATCATTTTAGACGTGACAGAAGAATATCAGGTTAGAACGTCTTTCTGCAGGGAGCCTTTACATCTGTCAAGTCTTTATTTGGAGAGGAAAGAGGCGATGAGTTACAGAATGCAAATAGTAAGAGTAGAAGAAGATTTTCATTGGCTTTCAGTCCGATAAAAAATCATCACACTCTGCACCAGAAAAGGTAGGCAATAGAAACAACACGGAGCAGAGCACGAGGCTGCAGACAGGCTGCGAGAGTAACGCTGCACTCAGCCGACTAGTGTGACAGCCTATCGCACAAAACAGAGTGAGGGCTCGAAGCTACAATTAGGATTCCATAATTATTCATTTTCAAAATCAAGCTGCAAGCAGGACCGCACTATTGACCCACAGAGTACAACGTGGAAGAGAAGAACCGAATTGCACCAGGCCGGTTATCGAAGAAACCTCATTTATGAGGCGGACAGTGAAGACCTTTCTGCTCTTGCTAAACACACATCTTTGTAAATCATGTGTCTCTATTATGTCAGCCACAAAAACCAAATGGATTTTTGAAGATAATTGATGCAAGTAACACGCTTCCACGGCAATTTTTCCACACTTCAATGTCCAACTGGTGAGAAATCTAGGCCCGTTTTCTTCTGTGTCACAAGCTTGCTTAGGGAATGTGACAAGGAGGGACTCCACGCAAGAAATTAACTTTAAACAATCAACCATGAAGTGTGAGACTCAGCAGTGAAAGCAGTGCATGGACGTGTGGTTAATGTGCTGTGGAGGTGTTGAAGGTGCAAACCAAAATAAAGTAATGCAGGGCGGATGTAAGCTGCAGGAAGGGAGAGACAGAGGGGACATGGGCAGCTTTTATAGTGTTAAAGATCATGTGAGCTTCTATGTGAGCATCTATGCTGGAAGACCTGGTCTGAGGTCTGCTGGTTTGCACACAAGTCAACTAATAAATGAGCAGCATGTAAGCACAACAATGGATACTGAGGGTTTTGTGGCTTGATATTTACACAGAGCCCAGAAACGTGGGGTACTCTATCCATGCTCACTTAATTATCTACAGTAGATGACGGTCAGCACGCCCACAGCTTGAAGAAGCACGAAGCAAAGTAATGTACGGCTGTGGATGCGTGCTCTGCGAGGTAAAATTACTGTTTTTTCAATGGAGTCTGTTGGCTTTCACAAGAGCATGGTTAATGACTTCAGTTCCCCATCTGAAGCACAGACTGTATAGCTCATCTCATGGCAAGGTACACTGGCAAAATATATTCCAAATATACTTAAATGTGTTTGTAATACTACACTTAAACTGATGTCGATTTTCTTTGGTGTCTAAAATACCTTTTGTTGCCGCCCCCCCCGTCCACAGCAGTACATTGCTTTGCTTCCGTGCGGTAACGTAAGTGTTTGGACATTGAATGCTCCATCGTCTGTCAGGAATGAAACTTTCTGTGATTGATCCACATTTGACCCTGACTCCAAATATTACTTGACTTTTACAAACTGTCTTTGGTATTGGCTCCATCCAAGGTTGAGGTTATTTCTCTCTCCATCACAAGTGCTTGTTCAAAATAAATCTGAAAAACTCGAGCCTGCCATTTTGCCTATGGCCCTCCAGCCTACCTCAACAGTGGAAGCCGTCCAAGTCAAATGCATGTATTTATAAAACACTTTGGAAAGCACAACAGGGGCCGCAAAGAAAAAGGAGAAAAACAGAAATTCTACAACACAGAGGAGGTCTTTTTCTGTATGTGTGCGGTTGCAGATGAGTTGATGCATCCCTACACTCCATTTACAATGTCTTCTCCTTCCTTCCACAGACCAAGGCAAAGTTCTCAAAGTTCTTCACAGCAGCGAGGGCGTCTTCGTCATATCTCAGTACTCTCTGTTTCACAATGAGGGCCCCGTTCTAAACATGGCCATCGACTCCCAAAAGGTATGAGGAATAGTGTGCGGGGGGGGGGTTCAGTTGTGTTCCTGGTTTCACTACAAACTAAATGACACGTGATTTGTGATTTTTATTATCACATTTATCACATCAGTCTATCTTCAATAAAACTAGGATATGTTTTGATGAGGTAGCTAAATCCTCAGTCCAGTCAAAGCACAGAATACGTAGAATGTTGACGTCTCTGAACCAAAACTACGCTTCATGAATACGTTTCACATCAGCCTCGTATCTCGCTTGCATAAATAAACGCACAATGCCACGTGGTTAAACGTTGTACAACGATTGGTTACATTTGGCCGACGAAACTACTCGAGGTTAAATAATTACGCAACAATTTATCGCAGAAATGCAACTCCCTCAGCGGACTTTCTTACGTAGTGTTAAGCGTTAAGCAACAAGCGTAACAGAAGGTTTACTTTTGGTTCCACTCCACACAAACAGAGGTCATCACAGTAACAGTCTCACCCTTTGCAGACTCTCTTGCTTATTATACTCGTTATTATACCACGCAACTTTCAATCATACCTAAATGTTGCACATGGTTCGATATACTACGTCACTTGCTCTGACCGAATGCAGTAATTCCACATTCATTGTATCAGTGGTTTGCTGAAAAGTACAATGCCCAAAACCAGGTGACTGGGATGTTAATCTCCCCGTTGGCATTATCCAGGCATGTCATATGTATAGGTATTCCTCATTTGGGGTTTAAATCTAGGTTTCTTACTGTCCCCTGTTGGTTTAAAAGCTGCTTCAGAGGCTCTGCTACCCTAAAAAGAATACACATTTTCAGAAGACTGAGTGCTTGTAATTAGTGTGTCATAAACCTTGTCAACTTAGCAGACTGGCTGATTTATTCCAATCATACTGGTGACTCAGTCTATTGCATCTTCTCCCCCTCAGGGACACCTGTATGTCGGTACAGCGATGGAGGTCCAGCGACTGCCGCTGGCTGACTGCAGTCGCTATGGCGACACATGCAGGGAGTGCATCCTTTCCCGGGATCCGTACTGCGGCTGGGACCGGGCCAGGAGGAGGTGCATCCCCATCCCGCCCGGATACAACACCACCACCGGGTACGATTAGATGTGATGTCGCTGCTGCAGAGCCGTCTGTTTTTGGACGAGTTGACGAGAGGAGAGCGGGCTCTCGTGTAAAAAAACAATCCGCCTTGTGCTCTGACTGATGATTATTGACTGTGAGGGGATGAAACTTGTTTTTACTATTAAGAAATTGCGGTTCGTGTTTGGCTTGGTTAGTAAATTGCTTTGGATCTAATATATCTTGTGTATTTCCAATTTTTGGAGAAAATATGCAAATCAATCATGTGCCGTAATGAGCCGCTGACTCCTTCCTCTTTTGCCTCCCTGACATTGTTGAATGATTTGTCTGTGCATGTTTTAATTTGCGAGTAACAGTGGGTTGATGTGCCGGCTCTTAAGCCATTTGTGGGATTATTTAATGCTGCTAATTTGTCTCCTCTATTATTATTACAGGACACTCATTCAGAACCTGGACCAGTCAAACTCCTCGGTTTGTGGGGAAGCTGCTGGTGAGCCCTTATCTGCTCTCTCACACTCTCTCTGTGTATCTCAATTAAACCAAAATAGGAACCTTTTCTGAGCAGCTTCAGTAAAAGATGATTATCATATAATTGAGCAGAGTCCAAAAACCCACAGGGAGAATTCTTTTTATTTTTTTTTACATCATGACCTGCCCTGTTTTAAAGCTCAAAACCCAGTTATAACCTCAACTCATCATGACAATTACTCCCCTCTGGAGGGACGGCTGCCTGATTTTAACACTGCTCTTATTTCCAGCTGTGTCCGCGATGCCACAGGTCCTGTGACAAGGTCTATCTATTTATATTAAGGAGTACTAGCTAGGTGTCCTGATCTTTCACTAATATCTTGGAGCAAAGGAATTATACAAAACACAACAAAGTTTCACACAATATGCTTTTATCATATTTACGTTACTGAAAAAAAAATACGTAACACAAATGACGATCAGAAGTTCAATCAATATTCACAATCCCAATACGAAAGGATTATTTTGGCATTAAAAAAAATCAAATATCTTTGTCCCTCCAGCTCTGAAGCAGCGTCGCACTTCCCCCAGAGAAGTGATGGTGCAGTCCAACACCTCCATCTTTCTCCCTTGCCCCGTGCGCTCCTTCCACGCCACCTACCGCTGGGAGAAAGACAACTGTATCAAGAACTATCCCTGCCTGTTCTCCAGGGACTTCTGCGTCCTGGGACCGGCTGTCAACACGCCCCTGAGGGAAGGCGTCTTCCGCTGCATGGCCACCGAGGACGGGTTCAAGGTGGAGATCATCTCCTTCAGGCTGGTGAACAACGGCAGGCTCCTGGCCGCCTCCCTGGCCTCCACTTTGGGGCCGTCGCTCCTGCTCGCCATGGCCACCCTGTGGCTCCATTAACCGCAGCTACCGCTAATGCTAACCCCTCATCCTTACTGGCTCCCGATGCGAGAAAGACGAGGAGCATCTGTCAGGAGGTTAGGTTCGCAGAGCATCAAATTACATGGTTGGGTTGGACGGTGAAAATTCACCTTTTTCCACATCGATTTTTAGAGAAAGAGTCAAGAGAATGTAATTGAGAGATAAAATTCTGTATTTTTTTTCTTGCATAAAGCAACATATTAGCAGCTACCTTGATAAGATCAGAACTTTGAAATTCATACTAAAGTGACTAGGAGTTACTGTCCATGAATTGACACGTCTTGCGAGTTCGATTAACCATAATTAGGTGCTTTGCGAACCTTTCCTCTCTGACTCAAAACATATCGTATGAGTTGGGGCGAAAAAACACCAATACCAGGCCAATTCTTTTCACCATTCCTCTACTTATTTTCAAATTGACTTGACTGTGCTTATCTGTGAATATATAAACCTTTAATACCGCTCTTACATCTAATCATTCATCTTGTTAAACTTCATTAGTATAGCTCATTAGTACTAGAAAATGTCTGGTATTGACATTTAAAAAGCCTTAACACTTCGGGGACAAAAACTCCTAAGCACAATTTTGCAGTCGAGGCAGAATACTGCAGCCTCGGTCGGACTTGGCGCTGTAATTAGTGCACCTGAGTCTTAACAACAATCGCTGGGAGGAAGTGTCAGCTTTTTGACAGGAAGTAGGCGGGTGGGCAAGAGCTCATCTTCGAACATCACTGTGTCTCAGCACCTCCTCCTCAGACGCAGCAGTTTCTTGCATCTTTTTAATCAGATGGTATCAAACGTCGTTATTACGCCTTGTTCACAGCTTTGTCCGTTGTTTCGTTATTATTATTTATATTTTTACACGCCATCGTCTTGCCTCCTCCCCAGAGCATCAGAAACAAAACACTTAACAGCACGTGAAAAAAAACATCGCCCACAGCTCCGTTGGAGTAAAAGTTGCTTAATATCGGCGCTACGGAGCAAACCGCCTTAAATAATTAAATAAAACTATCAATCAATGGCAAAGTGTTAAATCTGGATCATTTCTGTCAGATCATTTATTGTGGAGAGATGATGGTTGCAAGTTATGTGAAACAGCACGGACGTTTGTTTTTTGCTAATTCCGAGTCCCAGGCGTCCATTAGTGTTCAGGAAACAGAGCAGAGAGCAACAGTGAGGAGCTAATCTGCTGCCAATGGCATCCCATTCAACCCGGCAATGCGTAAAGATGTGAACAAGGTGTTGCGCTATAGCAATTTCAATAAACACACACTTACATTATCATAAGGGCAGACGAAGCTGAATGGAACCGCATATTAAGCTTGCATTTTATTGTTTGCTTGGAGGAAAAAAAAAAAAGTCTTGTACTTAGATCCGTGAAGTGTGTTCTGTATTTTATTGCTCTGCAGATGCTGATTTCTACCATTGCTGCCTACTTCTGTAACATTTTGTGTTGATTGTTTGGGTTTTCATGCCATAGTTAGAACATGATATGTAACCATTTACCGCTGTACCTCTTTCCCCAAAGACGCCGGTGCAAAGAGACAAGGAACTGGTTGTTGTTTTTTTGTACTTTTGTGTCTCTTTGCTGTGAAACAAAAAGGCTTGACAGATTCCAACAAGACGCTTCAATGATGTACAGCAGCAACAACTACCAGCGACGAGAGCAGTGGCTTTAACATGCACAAACTGTATTAAGACCAGGAAGGCAGGTTAAAGCTGAATTTAAAAAGAAATTAGTTGTGAATGTAGGTGGAGTTAAATAGCACTGAAATGCACAACAAACTCATGCTAAACCTTGTGAATACTGATCAGCTGACTGAAGAAGCAGGCTTGTGCGGTGATGAATTATGCAGCGGATTAGCATGTTCTCCCGAGCTATGAGAATTATCATTCAGCAGTGTTACATAAATCTGGCCGTGCCGAGCCGTCCAGTGTGGCAGAAATGTCATTAATAGCCAATTAGACAAAGCAGCCAACTCCTCATACAACGTATTAAAGAATTTATTTTACACCGTCAGGTTAGAGGAGCAGCGAGCATGTTCTCAGCTGGGAAAATCTCAAGGAAGTGTGGCGTGTTTTTCACTCAGCTGGGTTTTGTGTTGCTGCTCGGGGATCTGCTTGTTTTCTGCATTACGCGAAATGAAAAACAATTTTAAAACAAAGCTACGTTCAGCAACCTCGGCCTCTCGACGCTTCTTGTGTTCATTTGTAAAAATACCTCGCTCCTACCTGACATAATGTCCTGGACAAACTGAGTGTGTGTACAACACCAGTCTTTCCCCACAACCAAACTCACAAAACCCTGACATGCATATTAATCGTCTTTGTGTCTCAGTTGGAAATCAACACCAGCCAAGTGCTAGTAAGCATTTAGTGAAGGCTGTTGACGACGATTGGCAGGAAACTATCTCAACATACACCGATGGGCTAAAGGTCTTTTCCTGTATAACCTCCTTTATACATTAACTATAACTGCTGCGTATGTTTATGTGTGATTGAGTCTATGCTATCCATTTTGGCAATTTAACGTGGTATCATAAGCTTCCTGTGTTCCAAGTCCATACTATAGACCCAACGTATTCGGCAGAATTTCTTTGGGCATTTTAGGTTTCTGCAGACATTTGTGAACCAAAAATATGTTTCATGAATGTTTCAGCCTCGTATCACGCTTGTAGAAACGCAAAATGCCATGTGGCAAGGTTCTTGGTTAAGTTTAGCTTCTTCTACTACTAATGTAACAACGCAACAGAGCGGACTTCTGGGCGAAAGCCCCGTGTTTGACCCACCCGCCCACAGAGGACTTTCTCAGTTGTTACGCTCGTTATTATACCAGGTGACTTTCAATAACGCTCGCTCGATATACTACGTCACTTGCTGCAAAAAATGTCCGCATTCAACAACTCCGCGGTTTCCAGAAACGTGCAATGCCAACATTTTTCTGATGGGCTGATAATCCAGTGGAGACCGTCTTCAGACTGTTCATGTGGAAGTGTTTTAAATAGTAAGCTTTTAGAGAGGATACGATTATCCTGCACCAGTTGTGTGAGAGTTCGTAAACAGATATTTGGATGTAGTTTTGCTGTTGTTGAACGCGGCCCCAATTTACTTCAAAGCATCGGGACTTTGCTCCGTTTTTTGATTCTTCGTTCTTATACAATTCTTATAAAAAGTTCCTTTTTTTGGGACAAAGTATTCCATTAACCAGGTACTTTACGTTGCCTAAAGTGACAGTGTTTATTTGGCAGACGTCTACAGTGTGAATTTTTCTCACCAGAAGAGATAACCTCGAGTTTAAATGGGGTCAGATAGTTGTTGCTGTGCAGAGCTGATTTTATTGCTCCTCAGGCAGGTAAAATCAAGCTTTCATCACTCAGCACTCCCAGTCATCATGCTCAACTAATCAACATTTTTCAAGCTATTGTGTGGAATTAAGATTCATAGCATTTATACCAACTATCCAAATCTCCTCTATGTTCAAGTCCTTGCTTTGATGTGGATGTTCACAAGGCCGCTTTATCGAAATTCAGTTATCACTCAATCACATGCGTCAGGGTCAGCCAGTCCGATAAAGGCTCGTCTCCCTCAAAGCAAGCTCTTGATTTGCCTTCAGGAGACCGATGTAATGGATCGCGCTGTCTGCTGCAAGCCAATCAGCGTCGAGTGAAGCGGGCCCCTGTTTTTGTTTGCTCTGGGGTTTTTGAGTGTCAAGTACTGTACATGATGTGTGCCCACGATTCTGTGTCTCGATATATCTCATTTTAAAAGTAACATGCCAAACCTGTTAAAAAAAAGATTTATATTGGTGCAATGCCAGTCGAATGCCATCTCATAACGTGTATTTTTAAAGAAGACATATCTATAGTGCAATAGATATTCATGTAACAAACCCATATTGACATGTGTTTCCCTGAACATGTGCGGTGGAAATTAATAAAATATAAGTATAAAGACATTATTTACTGTGTTTATTTCAAAGAACTATGAAACTGAATCATTGAATTTAGCTTTCAATTCCTTAATTAAACATCAACAATGATGCAATCAAGGTTTTTAAAGGATAATTCATGGATTGGATTATATAAAGGTGTAGTGACATAGTTTAGGAGCTTAAATGGCACCTGTAAATATTATCCCCCTTATAAAAGCAATGAATCCATGCAGAAAACCCTTTCAAGAACCATTAATGCATTCAAATCCATAATTGTACTCTTTAATTAATCCCATACTTTATCTGGGGTAAACCAATTAGATACTTGAGTAATTAACAAGAATCTCAAATATATCAATTTACTGCGTTTAAATTAAAATCTATCTAATTGGTTAATAAAATGTTTAAGGGGTTTTAGTCACCCTTTCAGATTACAGTTGTTGAGATAAGAGCATAAAAGAAGCAGAATATTGTGTAAATCTGCATCACAAAATGGTTGACATGCAGTTGGAGGTTCCTGTCAAGACAGGCAGGTTGCATCATCACCATCTGCTGGCCAATATTTGGTGTATTGGTAAAATATGTAAAAGGACATATACCGCCCATTCAGCATCTAAAATCAACTGACATGAGTCATAAATCCAGTCTAGTTATTCTTAAAACCTGAAGCTGATTACGCTTGTTGCAGCCGTGTTATTGTAGCGTCCCCCTCCCTGATCCGTGGTATTTTATGAGTCCAGAACCAGCATCTTCTCCATGCATCAACACTAATGGGGCATGGTTGTCAAACCTATCTGCTCAGATATTCAGAGATGATGTTACAGCAGCCAGCAGGCTCCGTGATAGGACTTGAGAGAGAAAACCGGCTTTCTCAGATTGATGAATGTTTCGTGGCCAAAATATCCAATTATGTTCGTTAAACAGTATTTAGTGAGACTGTTGAGTGAACTGAACGCACCAAAAGCCTAGTATTTGGGAACATTAGTTAGCTTTGTCAAGGAGGAGGAAATGTCATACTACAGTGAATTTTGTCCAAAAACACTTCACCTTCTAATGGTTACCATAATGATAGACACCGGCTTTTTATAAACAATAAGTTAATGACGTAGGAGAGATGTGGTGAAAATTACACCTGTGCACCATTTAGCTCCACAATTGCAAATACCAGCCATCCTTGCCATACGAGGACCTTGTTGACTATAGCAGTGTCCTCTTGTTGCAGCGTGTCCTCATACAACAGTTTTATATCTTTCAAAAAGTTATTTGTTATTTGTTATTTGTTCACACAAGCGATCATTGCACCTGCACAAGCCCCTGTTGTCTTTAGGCAACAAAAGTACCTGGTTAGTTGGAGGGAAAGCTCTTGGTTTGGGTTAAAATAGCTACGGACGTGGCTTTACTTAAGTATTGAGGTTTCGTGACAAATAAGTCAACGTTGACTTCTGGATTCATACGGCACACAAACAAAGTGAAAGTACTCGGCTTTTTGTCCCACTCGTCCAACCCGGCCTCTTCCCTACGTCGCTCTTTATACTACGTCACCCTTCCTGGCTCACAATTATGCAATTTTGCATTATTATTGTAGGTATTTGAACAGTGTATGCAAAAGGCCAACCTCTGGCTGTGTGGTGAAAGAACGAGAGGAAAAATAACTAAACTGTAGACTGTATAGAAGAAGGGGCCACTGTGACGTCACCCATTGGTTTGTGGACTGCCTTGATTTTGGCATTTTGATGTCGCCATCCTGTTTCTTTGCAACCAGAAGTGACACAAGAGGGTGGAGCTAAGTACAACCGAATGCTGAATATTTTTAGTCGACCAAAATGTTACAATTATCTTTCATGAACTTGAAACACACTGTGAAAGGGTTTTAATACGAACAGTCCACTCACAGACCGCACAATGCTATAATAGTGACCTGTCAATCACAGTAAGCCCCGCCCTAAAGCATCCCCTGCTTTATGGTCTGTGTGACTCTAAATGGACCATAATGTACTAAATGAACATCATGCTGTATTGAAGAAGACTTGAAACTAGAGATTGAGACCATGAACTCATGTTTACAATGTTTACTGAGGTAATAAATCAAGAGAGAAGTAGAGTCATTTTCTCATAGACTTCTATACAACCAGAGGAGTCGCCCCCTGGTGGACAGTTGAATTAACAACTTTTTTTTTTTTCACATTTTGGGAAATATGTTCATTTTCTTGCTTCCCGGGGGTGAGATGAGAAGACCACTCTCCTTCAGTAAAAGCAGCCTTTTGCAGAAGTCAATCAATTCCTGAGCTTTTGACTCAAGAACAAAGCTTTGCTTCTCAGGAAGACCCTGAGTAGGCGTCTCTATCTCACTCTGTTAGCTCACTGTTTCCAAACAAGTTGCTGCCTATCAACTCTATTCATATGTTCTGGCTGAAATAAGCAGAAGCCATTCAATATAAATCCTCCTTTCTTGTCAATTGGTTTGGCACATCCATTGTTCTGCAGTTATCAGGAGCATACACACACACACACACACACACACACACACACACACACAATGAAGAAGTTCACATGTCAATCTTCTCAGTGGCAAAAACAAATCAATCAATATTCCATTATAATTGTTTCCAGATGTCATGTCTCAAAACAATGACGTAATCTGCCTGAGAAAACTTCTTCTATGGTGGGAAAGGCTTGGTTCACCCAAATAAAAACATGTTCTCACTTGCCTTTTCATATCTACCGAACCAAACACTTTTACTTGCCCAGGTCTGGAGATATCAGTCTCCTCGACTGTTTTTACTCAAAATACTATTAACCAAAGAAATACATCAAAAAGTATGAAAACTGCAGATAGCAGGTTCTGGCTGGTTCTGGTTCTTCTTGATCATATTAACAATAAACCAGCACATTTTCACTCCCTTGTCAAATACCACCGCTTTGGCAACTATGATGCTCCAGGTTCCCCTCTAGCAGCAGTATTGGATGTAAAAGAGGGCGGCAGTCAGTTTCCGTAGGTTACATGCATAGTAGCTTTTCAAAATAAAAGCCCATGAACACAGGAAACGTACATTTTCCTCTCGTAACATGCATTGTGTCTTTTCAAAATACATGATCAACTTACACAAAAAAATTAAGTTTTTAAACTCATAAAAATATGCGTTAAATAAAGTGTGTAGAATTAGTAGGATTGTTATAAGTAACTGGCATTAATGTACGTTTCTTAATAAAACAGATCTAACCGAACCCCTCCCACCCGCCCTACACAGACTTTCTCGCAATTTATTTATTTGTCTATTATTTTATCTAACCTTTATTCAGCCAGAATAATCCCATTTACATTTTGAATCTCACAAGGGTGTCCTGGACAATTACATAATCTAGTTTAAAATGTTTCTCTAGCTCACACCAAGATGAGGGTCCAGAAATTTTAAAAGCACTTTCAGCAAAAACTGGGTGGGTTCTTGGAATATTTAATTTGTCCGCATTGCTGAAGGTTACAGCTTCTGATTTTTCAGTAGAGAACAGAGATAAGGAGGCACTAATATGGCATCATACAGAAAAACAATTAACAATGTTCGAACATAAGTTGATGGGGGAACAAACTTTGGGACCCAACCAGTGACTCGACCCATAACATGTAGTGTTATCAAACAGGCTCCGAGCTGGATACTGTACAGGCAACAAGGTCCTGTAAGGGTGCCCAACTTAGAGGAAGTGAATACATGCTAAAAACAACCCTGTGGTATGTGCAGAATGCAGAGACAAAGGCAACTTCCATATCATCAACGTATAATGTCCAAAAGCCTGTGTATCCTACCCGGCACAGTGTGCATACCTTCAGTCAGTGTTTAGGTCTTGCGACAAAGAATTTAAAAAGTGACAGTCCAAAAGGTTCAAAGTTTCTACATTGAGATCATGTGGAGAATATGTGGTGGAATATTTCTAGGTTAATCGGGAGAAGAGAGTTCCTGTTCACAAATTAATAATAATGTCTTCAGAAGATTCAAAGTTGTCTTTGTCCGTTTATTCTCTTGCAAGAGGGAAGAGTGCACAACACGATACGTATCCAGCAGCATGTTGTAAAGACTTCTCCGAACTACAGGATTCACCACCTTTTATACACGGAGAGGTCCTCTTTCTCAGATAAATCATACACAGGAGACGAGGGGCCCTCTGACACAGGTTAAAGGCTTCTGCTCATTATTTAGTTCCTGTCAGGTGTGTTCGCTGGGAACCAGTCACAGTTATCACGATTTACAACAAGCCCCTCTTTACTGCATAGTTTTGAACACAGGTAAGTTTCAGGTTCACAACTCGGTCACACAGAGGCCTTCAACATATTTTTCCCCTTACAGCCTTCACTTCCCCTTCTTGTGTGGGAGCGTGTGATAAACCAAAAGTAAGAGAAAACAGGACATCTGGTTCATAAATTGATTAACTACTTCTGCAGTACTGCTGTTTTGTGTCTGTCTGTGTTCATCACTTTCAGTGGTACATGTTTTAAAACATAACATGATACTATAACATATTTTCCCATTACAAATACCTGCCAACTTTTCTAGGATATGAAATGCTCAAACCCCATTTAGGGATGTTAGGGGACAGTTAGGATTGACAAACATTATGGTGTAATGTAATAACTGGATCATTGTCAAATATTTTTGTATGTTCTTTTCCTTTATTCTATTTTCCCCCCACAACTGTTCCCCCATCTACAATTCATTTTACACTCACCTGTCAGACATATTGTTTGACTGTTTACATTTCAAGCACCAAATATGAATTCCTTTTTTACTTCATTGGGTTAAATGCAGATATCCATATTTTAAAAGCCGGACAAATGAAACCAAGTCTATCTGAATGGCTAGAATAATGGCCCCGATAATGTCATCAACACTTATGAATGTAGTGACAGGAAGATGTTCTTCCTTCTCAGAGGTCTGACACATTCCTGAGCAACACACACACACACACACACACACACACACACACACACACGCACACACAGATTAATGAGAGGCTGCCAGAGACAGAGAGCTGTACGAGTTGCCAAAAGCTATAAATCATCCAGTGCTGAGTAACTTCCCGTCACTTCTCACCAAGCCTCTGACTTTCTAACATGACATTTTACTCTGTGCTGTGTGTTAATAAACTGGCGAAGCAGTTGAATCTGACCGCCCATCTCAAGGTGAGTAAAGTTGAATTTTGTTCTGTCGTGTCTGTTTCAAAGTTTTAGTTTTAACTCTTAAGATACAAATGTTTGTTGTCAAGTTTGTTGCAGTTTTAATCTGCTGCGTTCTTCATATTGAGGACTATTTTCAGTGGATTAACACCCAAACATCTCACATTATTTGTGAAGTCAAACGTTAAGTTCTGAAGTTTTTAGATTTAACGAGGGTAAAGCATTGGCATTGAGTAAATAGAGACGTCAGACTTTGAGTAAAGAAAGACTCGTCACTCATTAGTCATCACTGACCAGAAATCTGTCAGAGAGCACACACCCATCTCAGATGTTATTAGCCAAAACGAGATGTTATCAGCCAATGTTATCAGCCAAAATGAGCGTTACAGTTGTTATTGCTACCATTCTTATGCGTTAGACGGGGAAAACAGCTTCTACCTGTAAAACTTAATGTTGTGATTTGAAAAACACAACAACTTTAGATTTAACTCCTTGTGTCTCATTGGTGAAAGTCCAGAATTTGTTTGTTTATCAGTCATTTTACCTGTTGACTAATTACTGATTTCAAACATTTTCAGGCTGAGTTTATGAGTTTCCTTTTCACACAAGACTCACCTGAAGTCTTCCCAGTTCAACCGCAGTCGTATCAGTTGTCACGGAGAAGCTCCACTGGAGTAAATGGGCTTTGACAGCAATAAATGTGTGTAAGCCACGTAATCATTAACCAGAAAATATAAAGAGTGACGCATCCTGCTTAGGGAAACCAGAGGTCGATGTCAATTTATTTCACCCTAAACGTTAACTTATTTGTCATATAAGTTCCCATACTCAAGTATTGCCACATCCATAGTTATTTTAACCCAAACCACAGTCGTTAAACCTAACTAAGTACTTTTGTTGCCTCAAACAATTTTTGCCTGTAAAGACAGACTTTTATTTTGAAAATACTGTATGTATAATATGAAGGGAATTTGACCTGTGATGCTGGACATTCATAAGAAAATGCACAAAAAAAGAGAAATATAGTAAGATATCATAAGAACCTTTGTATATATTGCTAAAGGGCACTTAAGTGGTGGTAATGAAAAAGCAGTTCTTTCACGTTTTCTAGCCAGCTTTTTCATGGTGGTTCAGGGATTGCACCAGCAACGTACTCTATGTCACATCCATGAAACATGTAGGCTATGACAGGATTAGGCTGGTGCCTGTTTTATCTTTTAAGCCACATCATAGTAGTGTGGCTCTGGCAATGGCAATCAGTTGTCATTTCAGATTGTTCTAGAATAAATCACTTGACAAATAGTGGATAGATTGCCAGTAAATTTGGAACAGACATCCATGTTCCCCTACAGAATGCAATAATTATCGATCCCCAGAGTGTTGATGCAGCGTCATCATCAGATCATAATTTAAATAAGTCCAACATTTTTTTTTAATACCCAAATACCCGTAAAATGAATAGCTTTCCCATCACCTTCTTCCAATCTTATATTATATTCTATATAAATTGTTGGGTTGGGTCTTATAATGGGATTTGTTGATAAAAATAGAAACAGAAACTACCACCAGTCTTATCTTTTAAGATAACCGTCTCCTCAGGCAATCAGTCGGCTTAATTCTTGGCACCTGTGAAGCTCCAGCGGTAAATTGGCTCATTTCCGGCAGTTTAGTGCAGCTGTTAGGACCTGGCTGATCACGTCTGTGGCCTTTCTTCAACAACACTGTGGGGAATAGAAATTGTACATGCTCTTGGTGACATAAAACCATTGAGTGATAAACTCTGGGTTTTATTGAGAGTGAGCAGAAGTTAAGGCCAAGGCTCCAGTGGTTTGTCTACTGAAGTCACCTGATCCCCGCTGATGTTTTCCCTTCTTACATCTTTTTCAAGCTATTTAATGTTGCTCAGTGCCATTTACCTCAGTCCTTTACTACTTCTATTCATGTTGTGACTTCAGTCATTTAAAAAGGTCATGTTAAACCCTCAAATGGTAAACCAGCTTTCCAACTTTCCTTGATATTCTTGCAGTTCTTGGAGTATTGCAATGCAGCCTTTAACCACACATGCTTTGGAGCTTCCTTGGTCACATTCAGTACGTTGTTGTCTCTAGAGAGCCACACTGCGGCTATCTTGGAGTGAAACCATTTTGACCCGTGAATTATTTTCTTGAGTTTGAAAGCAACCGCATGTTTGTTTGGTTTGTAGTCTGACAAAGTTTGATATTATAAGTTAGTCATGAAAAATGCAGGCCCGTGGCTCCACTTGTTCTGGTATCAGTCATTGATTACGCATTATGTTACACAGCACGAAGCACAGGACAATAGTATGTAGGTGGAGTCAACTCACACACAGCACACTTCGTTCTGTGCTCAGCATTGTTTCCTTTTGGAGGTCTTTCTGGATACAATTTAGATTTTTGTGAATTCAAGACTTTTAAGTGTTTGCAATGAGACAACCTTTTATATTTTGAGGCCATAGCCCTGTAATTGAGTAAATACATAACTCATCAAGACCATTTTTTTCTATTTTTTATCTGTGAAACTGCATTCGTAAGTAGATTTTAACAAAATACTGTGAACATTTGAAACATTACGTTGAAATATATATATATATATATATATATCAAGATTCCCCATGTGTGCTGTGTCATGCAGCTTTCTCAGAGTGGGTACTTTGACTCGTCATAGGGACTCTGGTGAAACTAATACATTCAGGGTTCCCACTCATTTCGTACCAGGACTTATCAAGGACCTTTTCAGTGACTGAAAGCTGGTACGACTGACAGGGGGTCACGCCATACACTAATATGTTCCTCTCTGTGGACGTCTGTTTCATTGGTTTGACCCTTGCCTCCCATTCATTATTAACCAACTCTCTCAACATGACCCAACACCCATTTGAAAGCATTGCTCCAGACTAGGGTTGAATCACATACCTTAAACCTTTGCAGGCAAAGCAAGCTAGTAAGCACTTTAGCAAAGGTACCAAACATTCTAACCAATGTGACATTATTCAAACGTTTAAAACAAGTTGGGAAGAAAACAACCTCATGTACTGTCATTCTTCCTGTCTGTGCTACCATGTGATTTGACAAAATAACCAACAATAGCCTGTTGAAAAGATTGTGGTTTGCTTACTATGGATAAAAATACTTCCAATAAAAACTGCTGACATCCTATCCTGCAGTTTATCCAGACTAATGGGAAGACTGTCTCTGTTTCAACATCCATGCATTGAGCAGCAGAAATGACTGTAACTGTACATCATCACATGGGGGTGGCAGCAGAAATCTCAGAGATGGCCATATCAAAACCTGGGACAAAAAACAACAAACACCAACAACACCTGTATCTGTACGGTTGAATACCACCGGGTGTAAATCACATGAACAACCCATGCACATAAACATGTGGAGCGCAGCTCGAGTTGTAGTGCAGCCGTGTTTGTGCGTAATACATAAACATGGCGCATCATTGAACCACAGTAAGGAACAAGACTGCTGTCATACAGAGGCAGTGGGCAATGTCAATGAAAGAGCTGTTTGCCACCGGCTATCGGCTGCTGGGTAAATATCACACACGCTAATGGAGCTCTGAGCTCACTCAGATGACGCCATCCATGGCATAATAGAGAGATATCATAGTTGAATCAATAATAGAGCCATTTATTGATTCTTTCATAGCCTGGTTGTTAATTTAGTGCAGGACTACCACCTCACAATGGAGCTCAAGTTGCAGCATGTGTTGCATTGGGTTGCTATGGACCACATGGTCCCACAATACATTATTAGAGTATGACTGCCTGCAGAAATCCCTTAGTCATCCTGTGAGCTGTGAATACAGTAAAGTAGGTACAAATGTTAAAGTTAGAAGAGGATTATTGTCTTTTCTTTTATTAGTCCAGACATCACGATCAGTTCAGTCAGGACCATTACATCAAAGATAACTTATTTTTCCAGTCATACACATTTGGCACTATGGCGCTGGATAGCAGCAGCATAGACACATTTGACTGTTAGTGCATTTTACAACTTTGAGGACATGCTGATTTTCAAAGTGACTAATTAAGAGGTTGATTTACCTCAGAATTATTTTTATTATTTATTATTTTTAGACAAATAAGCTTCAAACCTCTGCGCTCTTTCTGGGGGCTTAAGCATAACACATCCAACCCTCTGACCTAACTGTCGGCGGATTTGTTGCATTGTGGGTAATGTAGGTGCCAGGATTTGACAACGAATCGGTATGCATGAAAAGAAAAGGTTTCCATCTTGTTTTTTAATAAAACTGTCAATCTAGAGTCAACATTTTGGGTTGAGAGGTTTAAGCTTGTTCTTTCACAACGTTTTAGTTTTTTCCGTCACTGATTTCATTATAAAGGACGGGGAGTACCTTTCAAACAATGAGACCTGCTGTCACACTGAAACATTTGAAGTTGTTTTTCTCTTCCTTTTGACTTCTTTCCACACGAGTGACTCAACGAGATTAAGTATCAATTTGCATCCTTGTGTTGCAACACCAACTCAGCTGGGTGCATTGATGAACAATGTCATTGTTGCCAGGAAGTGTCAGTCTGTAGGTTTTAGACATGACAGGATTTCTGAGAGCTATCTCTCGGATGCAGAGAAAACAAATATTTTCCCTCTTCTCGTGCTCTTGGGTGATTTCCCAGTTGTCTCCCCACCTCGTACTGTATAAACCTGGCAGCAGGCCAACCTGCATGTGAAAGATGTTGACTGGGAAAAGGGCCACATGTTTTGTGAGCATGTGTAGGTTTTATAGATCGTATGACCCAGAAATCTTAAAACCCTAAATGTGTGTTGACGCTGATGTGATTGCAACATGCCCTTCCCTCTGAAGCTGGGGAAAATAATAACCAAGGTTGAAACAGAGGACAGCCTGCAGCTTTGCCAACATGTAGTGCACATTCCTTTAACAGATAAGGCTGCATACACCACAGAGAAGGAAACTGCGCACACACGAGTCAACTAGTAAATCCTCTACATCCATTCCCGACATAACTTCCTGCCGGAAAGGTTAATATCAAACTAGCTGGAGGCCACGCATGCACATTTCCGGATCCAAACTCCATTCCAGTTGGTATTATTATGCATTATTGCACCATAATGTTTTCCCGGAGTTCAACAGCATTTGGCTGTTTTTGTATTCCTGTATAGACAAATTAAATAAATGTAGGTAAAAGGATTTCCTTCCACAATCCCTCTTGAAAAAACTTCTACTTTGTTGTTTTTGTCTTCTTCTTCTTCTTCTTTGTCTCGGCAAAAACGCCACCAACTGGAGCATGCTCCGTCCGATCGGTCACAAATTCCGGGCTGCACATTAAAAAGAAGTTGACATTTGTGAGAGAGACATTTTGTCTAAAAACAGTGGACCTAGATCACAAAGACAAGAGACTGCATCAACTTTCTGACAATATCACACATGTAATACTTAATTATCACCAGGGACTACTTCGACCCGTGTCTACTCACTAACTGGAAAAGATTAGAGATAAAAGTAACATTTAAAAGTTGCCATTACTGCCCTAAAAAAACATTTTTTTAAATAGTCTGGGACAAGATTGTATGGATTCCCAAAGCTTTATTATTGCCGGATATTACAAATTCATTTCACAACAGTTTATTTCATGAGCTGAGTTTCACTCAGTCAATATTATTGATGTTCCTGGAAATCTGTCAATTTCCAGGAACAGCTGTCCACTGTTGGCCAGATCAGATAGCCGAGGAGCGTCTCTTGTTTCCTCATTGGAGCAGCATCGCGGCTGCTGTTTTTCTCACCCAGACAGTGTTTATATGTCAAAGAAGGAAGGCGATGACCACACAATAAACACAGGGTGATAGTAATTCATTCTAAGCGTATTATTTTGTATGTGCCATCTTGTATTCATCCAGAGGAACCTGTTAACAATGAGTCATTCATGTGAGTGTTGACCCACGAGGAACGATTGGCTGCATATCAAAAGAACACCTGTTGGGAGAAGAATAGATTTAACATCACAATCCATCCTGTTCCTTATTACTCACGGGTCTATAATAAATATACACCTGATGTGGGTTTTCATGTGGTAACAGAATACTGTACACATCTTATTATGTTGTGATTTATTGCTCTGGAAAAGCTACACACAATATCTTCCTTATTGCTCTGGAAAAGCTACACACAATATCTTCCACTCAGTTTAATTGTATCTTTGGCTTCTGCAAAGTCATTTTAATTCCGTTCCCATCCCATCGTGAATCAAGCCAAAATTAAATCATATTTATTGATCCCCCACTCTGACAGCTTGGACAACCACCAGAAAAAAACAAAGATGACCTCAAATAAATAAGGAAACAATATAATTTGATACTACCCACATCCGCACAGACATAAATGTTTATTCAAGCCACGTCACTCCTGGACTGGATAAAACTAACACTGTTTGTTTAACGGGGGCTATAAAGCTTGACGGCTCCTCCATGTGAGGGCCAACACAGTATGTGGCCTTGGACCAGCAATATAAATAGACTTAGAAGAGCGGATTTGAAGGAATCTGCATTAACAGCCTGAAGCAGGAATCTAATCTTGAGCGGGTAAGTACTGTGCAGTTTGTACTGCAACGAGTGCTGTTGTGTGAGGGGGGAGCAATGAAAACCTCTATTTTATATGGATGAGTCTGTCTTTTCCACTGCAGATGTGACGCCTGAGAGCACATAATGGCTGAAGGTAGAGTGATGTGTGAAGTCTGTTGTCTGTTGTGGGTCTAGCAAGGTTCACATACCCTGCAGAACGGACTAAACGTCTGTTTATTGTGCAATGGCACATTTATGATTTAATGGGAAATGACAGAAAATTGCTGAAAGATCTTGTAGATGATCTTGTCACGTCACGCATCTTTCATATTGATGACTCTGCTGTCTCTCAATGCTATTTGTAGGCCTGCTTTTGGGGGTTTCTTTAAAAGTGTGAATGTCCTCTATTTTGTTTGAAAAAATCCACGACTTTAGATTGAGACACGACAAAGGCAAACATGTGGCCTGCAACAGACTGCGAGGCTTGTTTTTGTCACGGCCTATTGTCGGATATGCCTTTTGCTGCTGAAGCAGGTGTTGATCACTTGCTGCCCCAAACTCACCCCACAATACTGAGTCAACACAACCAAGAGAGGGCCTCGAGCACACAGTCATGATTAAGCAGAAACAATATTTGACTGATGGTTTCCTGTAGTATACAAGATTAGCTGGACGGATGAACACACGCACACACAACTAAATGCATGATGCCCCCCCATTGTGAAATCAACTCGCAATGGGAAATTAGTCTATCGCCTAATTTTAGCGGGTTTTCCCAAATATAAACAAAAATTAAGTTTGCATATATATATATACATGCACACTTTCTTTGGAACATGGTTATGGTTCGGCAGAAGCACTCTGACCAGTAGCTATTTACTTATATATGTGTAAATTGTTATTGTGAAGAGGAGCAGTGTTGTGATGAGTGGAGCTGAATTACAGCTAAGGAGGAGCAAGAAAAGAGGATGAAAGCACAGAGGGAGAAAAAGAAACACATAAACAAGCATATAAAGGCACAGAGACGAGGAGGCAATAAAAGAAAAGAAAAGTAAACTGACAGAAATAAAGAACACAAGAATAGAAAAGAGCACACAAAGGTAAAAGTAGTATTCTGAGAAATACTGGGAGAAAGGTGGAGACCCACACAAAGTAAAAGGGCCAGTACTGGTATTTAGTGACAAGTAAACCCCTGCTTCCAAAAAAACTATTTGGGCCGATATTCTGCAACTTTTTCTGTGGAGTAAAGAATATAATGCCAACATTTCATCTCTCCTTGTCTTGTCTTTTACTAGTCTCTCTGATGATTTGGGAATTGCTTCATTTTAGTGCTCTCCTTCTTGGAGCACTCACATCCCCAACTCCACCCTCCCCCCGCACCACCAACACTGACGGAGGACCGTGTCGCATCGACATCTTTGGCCGAGCAGCAGACTGTCTGGGAAGACAGCTCGACAGCATCCCGTGGAGACAATTTCCATCCACACTGGAACACGTAGATCTCTCCTCCAACAAACTTCAAGCTGTCCATGCTGACGACTTCCTCCGGCTCCCTCAGCTTCGCATCCTTAAGCTGCAGTACAATAACATTTCACACATTGACAACGATGCCTTTAAAAACAACGCACTACTGGAGCATCTGGACATCTTCAATAACTCCCTGCAGGAAATTCCTGCCACAGCTCTGACTCCTCTCTTGAATCTGAAGGAGCTCTACATGTCCAATAACCTTTACAAACATGCAACTTTAGCGGAAAGCTTCTCCAAATTTGATAAGCTCCAAGTTCTGTCTATGGGTGGCCCTTTGGTGATGGGGCTAAAGAAATCTGATTTTCAGCCCCTGAAAAACATCAGGTTACAAGGTTTTGCAATTAAATGTTCCGCCAATCTAAGCTACTACGAGCCTGGAAGTTTAGAAGTCATCCAAACAAAGCAGATGGGCTTTGATATGGCCATAGATCAACGGCCGAATGCTCTCCCTCACATGCTATGTGACCTCGCCAACAAGACCTTCAGTGTCATCCAATTCCGCAACCTCTTTGAGTTCATGTACTACTTGGAAGAGGAGGACATTTTCCAGGGTTTAAAATACATCACAGCCCAGCAGCTCATCTTCCACAGAGGTAAATTCAATGAGAATCTCCTCAGGATGGCTTTGACAAACTTACAAGTCACCCCGATCAAAAGGCTGAGACTTCAGTACATCGACTTTGCCCGTTCACCCACATTTGTTGACAGCGGAGCCAGTTCCAGCATCACAGGCCTGGCACTGGATAAGTTGGATCTTTGGTGAGTATCTTCTCATTTGGGGGGCATCATGTGCCACGGTGGAATATAATTCATTGGCTGTGAATTTTTATTTTTTTAGTATAAGTGTACATTTTGAAAGTTAAAATGTAAACGGTATTCATGTAGTGTTTACTGAGTGTATATTCCCTCCAGGAATTCATGGTCTTGCGATCACACAAATGATAACGATAATTCAAGTGAAAGACAAAATATGTGAGATCTTAAAACCACAAACAAAAAAGTGAAACTGGAAGTATTTTTGCCAATTTAACCAATTGCATGAACTGCAAGCTCCTCCAGAGCAAGCTTCCAGAACTGAACCATTTCTAATCTAATTCCTAAAAATAACCATTTGGTTTATAGCACATTGGCAGCACTACACGTCACGTACGTGATTTATAGCTGGCTTGTAATATTTCCACAATTAACTGTTAAAACAAAACACCACATTTGGTATACAAAGGCAATATGTTTTAAGATTTTCAATAATCACAAAAAGCTAAAAATGATCATTAGAAGTTTGCTTTACACGTGCACTTACAGAACACTATGAATCTCTATTTCTTGCAGGTATATCAGCAATCCAGATGTGCTGCGATTTGACTGGCGCTTCACCTGGTTCAACAAAATCAAGGAACTGTCTATGCAGCACGTGTACTTCAACTTTGTGCCTTGCGATGCCTGGGTTGAGATGGAGGGCGTGGAGTTTCTGGATGTCTCCAACAATCGACTGGAGAACGAGTTCATCTTCAACCAGCGGTGTGATTACAAGGGCACCATGCCAAATCTTCACACCTTCACAATGAGCACCAATGACCTGACCAGTTTGAAAGTCGTGTCATTGCTAACGAGGGAGTTCCAGCAGCTGCAGGTGTTGGATTTAAGCAACAACAAACTGGGATCTGCCGACAACAGTCAGGACTGTGTTTGGCAAAAAAATATCACTCGGTTTATCGCTCACCACAACCCGTTCGTAAGTGAAGCCCTCCAATGTCTGCCCACTACATTACACTACTTGGACCTGTCCTACTGCGAACTGGACCTGCTGGACATTACGTACTTTGAGAAAGCCACCAACCTAAAAGAGCTCCTGCTGAGTGGGAATAAAATCAAGTTCATCCCATCCATGTGGGAAAGTCCCTCACTGCAGTTCCTAGCTTTGGACGGGAATTCGGTTGGTCTCATAAGCAGGGCATCCTTCCAGGACATGCCTCAACTGTCTCACTTGAGGGCAGGGAACAATCCTTACCACTGCACCTGTGAGCTCCACGCTTTCGTCCAGGACACAATATCCAGAGGAAAGGTTAACCTCACAGACTGGCCTTGGAACTACAGGTGTTACCACCCAGAGGCCTTGCGCAACACAGTCATATCCAAATTCATCCCGGGTCAAGTGGTGTGTGATATCAGACTAGTTATCATCATCTGTGTCGCCACCACGGCGGCGGTGATCTTGATATTGATGCTGATATGCTATATGTTTGATCTCCCGTGGTACACTAAAGCCACGTATCAGATCGTCAGGGCCAAGTACAGAGCTCACAAGGAAAAAGCGGCTGGGGAACGTGGGACTTTTACTTATCATGCCTTCATATCGTACAGCCACTCTGATGCAGACTGGGTGAGGAACCAGCTCTTGCCTTGTTTGGAGAGCAATGGGAACTCCTATCGTCTGTGTATCCATGAGAGGGACTTCATGCCAGGAAGGTGGATCATCGATAACATCATTGACAACATCGAAAGCAGTCGTAAGGTACCAAAGTGTAGTTTTGTAAGACACTTGTACATGCCAGAAGACAAAAATACAGAATAAAACACAATATTACGAAGCAATTGTAATCCACGTTTTCTTTCTTTTTCTTTGTCTTCATCCTCAGGTCATATTTGTTCTCTCCCAACACTTTGTTAACAGCGACTGGTGCAACTACGAGCTGTACTTCGCTCAGCAGAGAGCAGTGGGAAAGACCTTCGGCGACGTCATACTAGTGTTGAAGGAGCCCATGGATCCCAGCTCCTTGCCCAGCAAGTACTGCAAGCTTAAGAAGATGCTGAGCACCAAGACGTACCTGGAGTGGCCCCAGCAGGTCAGCCAGCAGGCGTTTTTCTGGGCACAGTTGAAAGGTGTCCTGGGCAAGCCAACACTGACCCGGAGGAGGGCGCACAGTGTTAAGAGCAGAACATCATCTGTGGGAAACGTTTCTGTGATTTTGACACCCATGGAAGATGGGAACCCAGGAGTAGCTAAATCTAATGCAGAACCCAAGAATGACATTATTAAATGGAATAACAATGAGCTGTCGAATCAGAGACAAATCCCTGTGGCTGCATTTTGACCAAAAGGTTAGAAAAATAAAAATGATACAGTATTGTCTCAGTAAAGGCCTGAACCCAGGTAGCCTTTTGTGTGCAAAAGCCATCGTCTCATTATGATGACAATAACACGATCCCCAGCCTGGTATTCTGTCATGTTATCCCCGAGGGTTCGAGCTGGATGCCCTCCGCTCCGCTCTCCCTCTGAGCGTCTCAGCGCCGGGTGGCCAGCTGACAGCCACTGAAAGGCCACAGATGAGATCTCCCATGTCGCACTCAGGGTAACAAGCACTGGTGCCGGGAAGATGTGGTGACAGGAGCCACAATGTGAAAGGGCCGTGCTCTGTTACACTCTTGGCCCTCAGAGGCATGAGCTCATGAGCGCTCCAGGGCCATGTCAAAGGCCACACAGGACATAAAACACTTCACAATGGGCCTCATGCAAGGACGAACAGATTCGTACTTCTGAGGGATTTAGGAGAACTTGCCGCATTCGCCAATTTCCTCATATTTAAAATTTACTTTTAGGTACGAACACAAATTACGTCGTAGGAGTCATGTGCAATGGAGTTTGCATGTTCTCCCCGTGTCAGCGTGGGTTCTCTCCGCGTTCTCCGGCTTCCTCCGACAGACCAAAGACATGCAGCTTACGTTAAATGATGAATCTAATTGTGTTTGTCCTGCGATAGTCTGGCGACCTGCGCAGGGTGTAACCTGCCTTCGCCCAATGTCAGCTGGGATCGGCTCCAGCCCCTGAACAAGATAAGCGGTCAAAGATAATGGATGGATGAACGTATGCTCATTTATACACATGTTTACATTGGTAATATAAACAGTTATCTGATATTATGAGCGTCTTGTAAAATCTTTTGAGTTACACTCCATGCTAGCTCTTGAGGATGGGCAATCCTTAGTGATAGTTGGTCACTTGGCAAAACATTCATAGCGCTCCGGCACATTGTATATCAGGTATAAGAGTTTGCACTGATGATATTTTGAAGTCTCTCTATAGATCCTTCGTGTTTCAAGTTGACTGCTCCCGTATTTAACTATTACATTTATTATCACCAATTTCATTGCTGTCAAATGTCTTTGTTTTACTTAGTGTAGTGTGAATGAGTTGAGTAGAGCTCACACTTGATGATTAATGTTTCTCCAAAGTTTTTCCAAATTACTTATTTCCTTTCACTTTCACATGCAGTATTGAGTCGGTGTTATGTAACAATTTAAAGAAAGCCACTTGTACAGGTTTACATGTGAAGTCATTTGTACAGTTAGCAAATGGCCAGTAGATGACACCATTGAACTCATTATTTTCTGGTTGAAGCCCTGGAGAGAGAGAGAGAGAGAGAGAGAGAGAGAGAGAGAGAGAGAGAGAGTGAGTTTCTTTGATCTTTGTATCCATATATGTTGGGGGAAAAGTTGTTGTGCAATACCAGCTGCTACATATGTTTACTGTTTCCATGCACGGTGTAATGGAATAAACTGTTTTAGTCATGGCTGTGTGATTATGTTGACTGTCTCACGTCCACTCTTTGTGGATCTCTGCGGTTGGTTTGAAAAGCAGTAATCGGAGACGGTTACTTTGGTTTCCCACACAAAAGAGAGATGAGAGGCTCACTCTCACACATCCAGTCGCTCTCAGTTAATCAAGTCAAATAAAGGGTTTCATCTTTACTCTTCCTCAAACAGCGAACAGAACATCTGGCTCTGATCTGAGAGAGTTTCAGGTTTTCATTAATAATGTAGACAAATGTGAAATTTGGAAACATTATATTGGATCAAGATAATGCCAGTCCTTCCATCCTTAAAATACAATATTGCGTTGTGCACATGTTTTACGCTTCTGTCCCTAAAGGAACGCTGAGAAGCATCTGAGTCTCACACGATCTCATACTGTAATACTGCGACCTTCTTCTTATTTGCATTACTGTGTGAAATGCACTTTGGTTTTGAGAAATGTGGCTAATGTTTAACTAGAAGCATGCAAATATCCATAAAGCCTTTACATTGGTGATCTGGAGATACTGATGTAAATCAACCCCGACACTTTGCATTCTGTGAAAAGAGGACTTCAGATGCCTGCTTCTAATTCCTATCATAGTGGCACTTTGTTTGAATGACATTGGGTTTATTTTAATTATTATATATTGAAGTAACTGTTTATTATATATGTATGTTTAGTTGAAATGACAGAAAACTAAATCATACAATGGCATATATTGTTCTAGCAATGTGAATTGTGATATTTGTATAAGAGAAAATTAGATTTTTTATTTTACCCAATAATGAAATACTTTTCTTAAACTAATAATGATGTCTTTGGGGGTTTATTTCCTGGCGACTATAACTAATAACTAATAATAATAATAACTAATTCAAGTTAGAAATGATGTAACACTTTGCTACAGCGGCTGTTTCTTAGTAATGTATAATTGGGGTCAGTCCGTGTGTCAGTAGGAGTTTAACGCGCTGACTTCTTACCTTTACCCTTAAATGGTCATAATCCGCGTTATTAGCCACAGCTGTGCGTCTCCTGTCACCACACGGTGAAAATAGGATGAAGAGCCTGTGGTTGCCTTTCATGGCCCGGTGGCTCACCAGGTGACGTTGCAGCGGTCCAGGGGGAGGGGCTTATCTGATTGGGACTCATTTGCACACAGGTGAGAGGAGCCCTTATAACTGATGAGAGCTGAAGCCACTTCCACCAGCAGCTGTCAGCGTTCAGGTGAGTTCCCACTTGTTGGTGTTTCGTTGCTATTTAACTCCTAAAAGTTAGATCTGCGAGACGAGAGTTCAAAATGAATTCTACCAACTAGGAAACGTGGTAAAAACATTTTTTTATTAGTTTCTTGTGGAGTGGCATCTGCAGTCTGGTTGTTGACAATTTCCCCAAAATGCTCGTGCTTTAGTCTCTGTCTCAGTTAATTAACACTCGCTTTTGCATTTGACATTTCAAAGGTTTTTAATTAGCTCCCCGATCGCAGCGGGAGTGACTGCAATCAATCATAACAATCATAACAGCAATCATGGAGACTAATCGAGAAGATGGAGCGCTCACTTCTGCCTCTCTAACCGCAGAGAGTTTATTCACGCACTCTCACGCAGACAGACAGCCCTGTATTATTTATGAAAGCACGTCTCTTCTCATATAGATGAGGATCATCAGACAATCAAGTATGGATACGAATCAGCAGACATTCAGATGATGAAATATGACACACCCTCAATCCTTCAGGTATAGTTCATGTAAGGTAACGCAAGAAGATCTGAATCTAGTTTATGTGCAAGCTGCCCTGCATACAGGAGGTCTGTCCCTTTGTGCTCCACTGGTCCATTGAGGGTGGAGGTGAAATGACCCCCCCCCCGCAGCTTCCATCTCGGGTGTCTGATAGTGAAAGGGCAGGAGTTTCAACTCCTCTACCTGCATTTTATTTTGGCCTTGAGGTGGGTTTGACTTGATGATTTTTATTTCTTAATTTAGTTCCCCGCCTGCAGTGCCTAAAATGACCAGCATCTCCTCTACTGACGGAAGTCGATAGTTTGACAGATTAAACTGGTGCAGTGGAGCTTCAGAGATAAAAACATTTCCATGGTTCCTCAGGGCAAGTCTAAGCGGCACAATGTCTATTCTCATTATTTCCTCTCCAATTGTTTTACTTTCAGGAAAAGTTTTCAGTACATTAAAAAAAAAAAATAAAAAATAAAATAAAAAAACAATTTACCCTCTGCTCTTCATACAAAGTACATCTTTGGTTACTGCAGTATATTTTTAGTTCTTTCCTCCCACAGTCATTTGATCTTCCTGCTCTCAGAGCTAATGGAGGCTGCCGGTCCTCTGCATACAGATCTTTATCGCTCTCCGATTGATCTAACTCGTCTTAAATTAATTCTTTTTTTTTTTTTTTTTTCTCACACAATGGAAATCCACAAATTTGCTAAAATGCCATTTTCCTCATGACTTCAACTAATCTGTAATAAAACAGTATATTGGTGACTTTCTGCATTTGTCCTTCAAGGCATTAATTGTAAGACTACAAAATGACTTCCCAACTGCAAAGCGCGATGGAGGGCCTCATCTCAGTGTTCCACTCCTATTCTGGAAAAGAAGGGGACAAGTACAAGCTGAGCAAAGCGGAGCTGAAGAACCTGTTAAACGGGGAACTTGCCGATTTCATAGCAGTGAGTATCTTATTGACTGTAACGAAGGTTTTGCTTCAACTCACTATACACTGGAACTTCTGACTACGATACTGTGGTGTTTTTTTTTAAATTTATTTTTTTTTTTTATTACTTGATGTGTTTGTACATGACTTGTAGAACGGGTCTAGAATTTAGTTCGTACCGGAGGGAGAATTCTATTTGAAAAAAAATGGAACGCTACAATTACCGTACATGTTACTTAAGAGCTGAATGGTATTGCTTATATCTGTAGCATTTTTGGGAAGGTCTATAAGCGAGTTGTTAAAACGGGGGGGTGCAGAGATTATTCTAGATCCAAGATGAAACTGACAGAAGGGCGGCTCTCGGAGGGAAACATCTGTTACAAAACCTCCTGCTACTTCAGTACCAAGGACAGCACCATGGATTTATAGATGCAAGGCACATTCAGGCTACTGATGTTACAGAACCAGGCTCGGGTCACAAGGGATCTCCCCCCTCCCCCTAAAATCACTAGAACTTCAGCTTAAGGCTTGGATGTGGGAGGTGCCATCAGGATTTCATCTTGCAAAAACAAATTCTCTTTTGTACAATTTTCATCCCAACGCTTCTGTTTCAGGCCAGCAAGGACCCCGGTGTGGTTGATGCGATTTTGGCCGACCTGGATGAGAACAAGGACGGTCAAGTGGACTTCCAGGAGTTTGTCGTTCTGGTCGCTGCACTGACCGTCGCCTGCAACGAGTTCTTCGTAGGCTGCCACGAGAGCAAGGTGGAAAAGGAGCAGCCCGGTTCTAAGAAAGTCTAATATTTCTATACATTTAAGTCATTTTTAGGGATTCGGCTTAATCGCAGCACCTTGTAATCACTCTGAAGATAATTTGGTGCAAACGACCTCTTTTTGTCCTTCAAGTCTTCCATCTCAATAAAGATGTCATCCTGTTCTTACATGTCTCGTCTTTAAGATGCAAGCTGGACTGATTAATCAATCAGGAACAGACTTCTGTAATCATCTATGAAACGGTTATTAATGTTGTGAAACCTGAGTAATGCGAAACCAGATCACATGTGGAACAGTGTTAATAAGCTCACTGGCAACATTGAGCACCACCCAGTGTCTGATTGGGGGGGGGGGGGGTAATTCATGACGGCCAGCTGTCAAGGGCCTGACATCATCTCATTCCTCCTCAATCCAACAGAGCGCCGCTCGTCCAGCTGCTCTGGTCTGTTTTATTCTGAAAGGGAGAACGCTGGCACAATAAATGCCGTCAGTCCCGGCGGCTCAGAGACGCTCCTTCACTCAGACATAATATGGCCGTTCCTTTCAGAGCGAATACTGCAACAGCACTTTGACTAGCAGATAAAACACTGATTGAAGTGGCACACTGAGCTTATAAACTATGAGAACATTTGAAAACTATTAGAATTTGTACAGACAAGGTTGCATTAAATTCATACATCGGGTACTAAATGACTCCTGGTTTGACCTTTTCTCCCCACAGAGGGATTCAATGATGCATTTCTTGTGAAATATGGAGCTGCCTGTGTAAGTTATGCAATTTGTATTATAGGAAAAACAGTTGTTACAGATGTAATTTCGCACGTTAAAATTTAACTTTCAGCAAAAGTTAGGGCAACACTAAATGTTTCTAGTAACTTACACCGCAGATATCCTGGTAAAATGTCTATTCAGTTTTCCCAGAACAAAAAGTAGCATTCAAACCAAACGATCCAGTTAAAGCCCTCCAACAGTATTCTTAAACATTTGGTTTATCTGAAGATAATTGGAGAAATGTCAGAGCTCTTTGCTTAAGACTGACAAAGTGTCACTGAGGATGTTGACCTGTATCCAAAGAAACCATCTCATTACAGCGCGGTCAGTCAGCTTCATAAGAGTCCTCTTGACTTTAAACTGCATCCCTGACATGTGACAGACTGGCAGAGGCTACATTCTGTCAACACAAGAAGCTTTTAAGTTTAAACGCAGTCTGGAGAAACTCGGTATGGGTGCATACAAAGTTGTAAAGTGCAATTAATTATGAAACAGCAGCTTGGCTGGGACATGCATGTCCCAAAGGGTTGTGTTCTAAATACAAAATATTTAGCAAAATAGTTCAACAGATGCCTTCAGATGTTAGTCCTTTTCACAATCCTCTCACTTTGAGTGATGGTCCTAAATGAACACACAACTTTAGCTCCTTTGACTCTTTCACACGACAGACTTCCAGACTTGTGTTTTTCATCTGGGTTGAAGTGGCCAGGGCGCTTTGAAAGAAGGTGAGGCATTTTACTGCACCGTTCAGGATTTAAGAAGCTTGGCAGCCCAGTGACCAGGAGAAAGTGTTCATCATAACTTTATATATTTATATAGCACCTTCAAAAACAGAGCTTACAAAGTGCTTTGAGCGACGAGGCGAAGCAAAAGGAAGGCTGAACAAAGCAAAACAAACCCTGATCAAATAGATACAACAATAAAACCAATCCATATAAGAACCATCTAAGAAATAAAATAAAATAAATATAAAAACTATTTTGTCAAATAGAATAATAAAATATAGCAGGAAAGCGACAACATCACATAAAAGCCAGTCTGTAAAGAAGGGTTTTATGAAGTCATTTAGCATTGTGAGGACACCCACACAGTCTTGAGTGTTCCTCAATGATTTATTTTTTCCCCCGAAAGGTATTCCGGTAATTCATCTGTTTCCCCTTCTTTAGGATCCAAGCTGGTCCTCTCAATAACGTCTTGAAACTTATTTTTACAGACGAATCAAAGAAGCTTGCAAAAGACTTCACTCAGCAGGTTTAAATGCTACGAAGCAGAGTCGTCTTCAAGTACTCCAAGAGGAAATGAAGAGCACTATGGAATGTCATGAACATAAAGAGCAGCTCGCAGGAGGAAGAGGCTTCACACACCTACTGCATGGAGGCTCCTGACGTCATCCCTTCCTCTCAGTCCAACTGCTCACCCAGCAGCTGTGCTCCTTCTGTTTGCTTGCTGTGCATTTAGAGGCACCGAGACGTCGGCTCTCATTCCTCAGACACGTTACGGTCGTTCACCTCAGAGGAAGAATAAGGTCACTTTGACTAGCGGGCCAAAACAGACATGTATTGAAGCGACACACTGCGGGCAACAGAGGATTTTATGCAATTATGGGAGCAGTTGCAAACCATTTGAATTAGTCTCTGGATGGATCTACTCTTTGTTTTGACAGAGTTGCATTAGTGGTTCATCAGGTGCTAAATGACTCATAGTTTCATGTTTTTTCCAGAGTGATTGAATAATGCATTTTCTACTATATCAGTCAGAAAGAAAAGAAAGATTGAACTGCTTGTGCACAGAATGAATCCTAAGAAACACTCATAACGCATCTCCTGATCCACTGATTCATTTTGATCATGATGCATTTTAAATTATTATCAATTGATCAATTGATCAATTTGGTCTTCAATAGCTAGAAATCCAATTTACAAATTCAATTTTTTTCTTGAAAGGCAAGTTCAAGCAGAAGAATATTTCTTCATCATCACTAGACCTCCACTTCTCAGGTTGTATCCACTTATTTTCTTGGGTAATGAGTTCTTTCCTGTTAAAAGTTAGATGAGAAGATTGATACCGCTGTCATACAGTAAGATATGAAACAGCTTTCTCTTGGTCGTTGGGGTTTCCTGGCAATTGCACCCAGTCAAGAAGTAGTCCCATGTGAACCCTTCTTAAAACCACAACTTGTAATTTTTACACTTTTGTTTTATGTATAAAATAAGCAAACGAGATGTAACCAGGCAGCAACTTCTGGTTCTGCCGAATAAAGCCGATGCGTCTTTCAAGTATGTTAAAGCTGCATTCTCTCTAGTGTCCACCAGGGGGCGACTCCTCTGGTTGTATAGAAGTCTATGAGAAAATGACTCTACTTCTCTCTTGATTTATTACCTCAGTAAACATTGTAAACATGAGTTTATGGTCTCAATCTCTAGTTTCAAGTCTTCTTCAATACAGCATGATGTTCATTTAGTACATTATGGTCCATTTAGAGTCACACAGACCATAAAGCAGGGGATGCTTTAGGGTCTATTGATAACTATGTCCACTTGTTATATACAGTCTATGGATATAACCTGTTAATTGGTGATCTTTAGAGGTGTTGGTTGGCCTTTGGACAGAGCAAGGCTTCCTTGTTTCCAGTCGTTATGCTAAGCTAAGATAATGGGCTGCTGACTGTAGTATCATATGGAATAGAATAATAGCCTCTTCTCATCTAACACTTGAAAACCAAACCGGATTGCTACAGAAAACATCAAGGCCAGTGTAGATGGTGATACATTGTAGTTTTCATTAAATAAAAGGTTCTAAGATTTGAGTTTCTTCATCTCCCGGAGATATCGAGAGAGACATGAGAGAGAAATGTCACATTTTTGAAAGCTCTCCTCAGAGACACCGAGGATCCTGACATTTCACTCTAAAAATATCTAAAAAGATAAATTCCCAGCAGGCAGAGAGGTGAAATTGGTACTGCACAGCCTCACATCCTTTGTATTCATTAACACGCGCACACGGCGAATTAGCATCCAAGGTTGAACGCAGCCCGCAAAAAGAAAAGGGCCGCACACAATGCAGTCTGGAGAAACTCAATACGGGGCTCTCACAAAGTCTTGTTCAATTATGTAACGGCAGCTTGTCTGACAGCCATTTATGCAGAAACTCCACAGGAAATAAAGCTCTGGTGGCACGATGCTGCGGCCGTGAGCAGAGACCGTAAAATGCAAAGCAGCATTTGTGGAATGGAGATAAGAGAGATGAGGCCTTAGAAGGGTGGAACGTCATGGGAATCAACCAATCAGCAGCTTTATAACCACGCGATAATAGTACCATCAAGTGTCTGGCACTGCAGACAGTGGAATCCTTCATCTTGATTTTTATCAATGTTGCTAAACAGACATGTTGTTCATGTGTGTACTTCTGCAGACAAGTTAAAAAGGTAACAGCGCAAACAAGAACAGCGTGCATTTATGGGCTCACCTTTGGCCCATAGCTCTGTGGGTGATAACTGAACTTATCTGCACTGTTCTAGCTGTTCTGGCACTCTTTAAGGTCCTTAGCACGCACAGACTGAAAGTGACAGCTTAGAAAACAAGGCACACCCAGTCGGTCTGCCCTAATTGGACAGAGACACAAAATAAGTTCCAGACAGGTGTCTTATCTGATGGTCTGGAGTTACCAGACGAAGAAGGATATTGTATTAAAGATGTGAGTCTAAGCTGTGCAACATGAACAAGATAGCGTTGCCATCCTGTGAAAACATTGTACCTCCTTTTCAGTTTTCAGCTTTGTGACAACTAGTGCAGTGCCGATCTATCTGCAGTCTGTTTGGAGGACATGCTCCATGTTGGAGCGGACCAAGTGCTTGGCTCCCGGTCCAGGACGTGCTACAGGGAAGTGAAGAAAGAGTTTGTTTGTAACGATATATCTCTGCATCCGGCAGCAAAAGGCAACTGCAGTCAATTAGGTGTGATGTTGAACAACATGCTGGGTCACAAAACAATACCAAGTACAATACCAACACTTTTGGTAATGAGAAATTACTAGAAGTGGAAGAAAATTATTTTAAATCTGGGAAAAAAGGCATTTTGCCCCCAGACATGGAATTGAGTTTATTCAACAATTGTTATTGGATGCAGCCAGGAAACACTAAGGTCATGAGTCCAAAGTCACCTCCACAATATTATCAGTAAACTTTCCAATACAATCTTCTTGATATTGTAGCTCCCATCACAAAGAGATGTGTTTGAAATCATTTAAAATAATCATTTTTGTCATCTTATAAATAGTCAAACTGAAGTGTTCATAATCTTCACTCTGAAAAAAATCAAAACAAACAACTTGGTGTCCTTAAAGGTGCAGCGCTCCAATTGGACATTGCATGTGGTACGACGACTGACCAGCAGA